GTGGTGGTCAAGCCCGGAGCCGGAGCCGCCTCCGAGGAGCAACACCCACCCAGCCCTCCCCTATTTGGGGTTTTGAGGCGCGGTCGCAGTCCGCGCCTTTAAGGGGGGGTACTGTCACGCTCTGGCTCCGGGACTTTGTATTTTGAGCCAGGGTGTGTTCGTTTTGGTTGTGTTTTGTGTTGGTTGGGTTGTCATTGGTTTTGTGTTTCCCTTATTTGGTCTATGACTCCCAATCGGAGGTAACGAGTGTCAGCTGTCGGCTCGTTATCTCTGATTGGGAGCCATATTTAAACTGTCTGTGTTCACCTTGTGTTTGTGGGATTTTGTTCGTGTGGTTTCATGTTGTACCATAGACGTCACGTTTTCGTTGTTTTGTTCGTGTGTACGTTTATATAATAAATATGTTCGCTACCAACGCTGCGCTTTGGTCCTACTTCATAGACGATCGTGACAGTATATGTGCTTTCTTGAGCAGGGGGACCTTGCAGGCGCTGCAGGATTTCAGTCCTTCACGGCGTAGTGTGTTACCAATTGTTTTCTTGGTGACTATGGTCCCAGCTGCCTTGAGATCATTGACAAGATCCTCCCGTGTAGTTCTGGGCTGATTCCTCACCGTTCTCATGATCATTGCAACTCCACAAGGTGAGATCTTGCATGGAGCCCCAATTTAAAAAAAATTTGACGAGCTTTTTTCTGAATTTTGTTGTTGTTATTCTGTCTCTCACTGTTCAAATAAATCTACCATTAAAATTATAGACTGATAATTTCTTTGTCAGTGGGCAAACGTACAAAATCAGCAGGGGATCAAATACTTTTTCCCTCACTGTATGTATATACAGTACGAGTCAAAAGTTTGAACACACCTACTCATTCCAGGGTTTTTCCTTATTTTTACTATTTTCTACATTGTAGAATAATAGTGAAGACATCAAAACTATGAAATAACACATATGGAATAAAAAATAGTAACCAAAAAAGTGTTAAACAAATCAAAATATATTTAATATTTCAGATTCTTCAAATAGCCACCATTTGCCTTGATGACAGCTTTGCACACTCTTGACATTCTCTCAACCAGCTTCACCTGGAATGATTTTCCAACAGTCTTGAAGGAGTTCCCACTTATGCTGAGACTCATCCTAAACCATCTCAATTGGGTTGAGGTCAGGGGATTGTGGAGGACAGGTCATCTGATGCAGCACTCCGTCACTCTCCTTCTTGGTAAAATAGCCCTTACACAGCCTGTTGAAAAACAAATGATAGTCCCACTAAGCCCAAACCAGATGGGATGGCGTATCACTGCAGAATGCTGTGGTAGCCATGCTGGTTAAGTGTGCCTTGAATTCTAAATAAATCACAAGACAGTGTCACCAGCAAAGCACCCCCACACCATAACACCTCCTCCTCCATGCTTTTCGGTGGGAAATACACATGCAGAGATCATCCGTTCACCCACACCGCGTCTCACAAAGACACAGTGGTTGGAACCAAAAATCTGGACAAATTTCCACTGGTCTAATGTCCATTGCTCGTGTTTCTTGGCCCATGCAGGTCTCTTCTTCTTATTGGTGTCCTTTAGTAGTTGTTTCTTTGCCGCAATTCGACCATGAAGGCCTGATTCACACAATCCCCTCTGAACAGTTGATGTTGAGATATGTCCGTGACTTGAACTCTGTGAAGCATTTATTTGGGCTGCAATTTCTGAGGCTGGTAACTCTAATGAACTTATCCTCTGCAGCAGAGGTAACTCTGGGTCTTCCATTCCTGTGGCGGTCCTCATGAGAGCCAGTTTCATCATAGCACTTGATGGTTTTTGCGACTGCACTTGAAGAAACGTTCAAAGTTCTTGAAATGTTCCGTATTGACTGACCTTCATGTCTTAAACTAATGATGGACTGTCATTTCTCTTTGCTTATTTGAGCTGTTCTTGCCATAATATGGACTTGGTATTCTACCAAATAGGGCTATCAACACAGCTGATTGGCTCAAACGCATTAAGAAAGAAAGAAATTCCACAAATTAACTGGGTGTGTCCAAACTATTGACTGGTAGTGTATACAGTAAGTCTCACCTCGTAGCATTCACTTATTTATGACTAATGTGTTGCCGTGGTGATAAACATTTCAGTTTCTCACTCACAGGGTTCATTTTCAGGTAACAATGTGTGATCAGAGAGAGAAATATTTTGCAACCACATAGATCAAACAAGTGCTTTGTTCAATGAGGAATTAGTGTATTTCACTGAGGGATAGCCATTTGCTCCCACACATTGATGATGCCATACAGTATTATGCCAATGTTCAGAATCCCCTTTGTGGTCCTACTGATATAAGGCGAGGACAGATATTTCATCCCCTAGCCTAGTAGTTAAAGTTACGATTAGGATCCTAGATCTATAGTTAGGGCCACTTCTGCCTCAGTGTGTTTCTGAATGTATTGTAGATCCAGTATAAACTTACAGCAGCCATGTTTGTTTTTGGGTCTGATTCATGAGCAGGATCCTGAAAGGATCAGTAATTAGGAAAGCTAAAACATTTCTGATAACATAATCAGCTTACAGAGGAGCAAGTGTTATCTATGGCTGCATGGAGTATAGCTGGAAAGCTGTGGCCCACACACAACCTCAACTCTCTTATCGGGATTCTTCCCTTCAATGGCCACAGCCCACAGAGAATTACTGAGATTTTTTCCCTCAAGGGAATTTGTCTGTACCCTCCATGAAGGGCAGCATCTAAATGCTGAGGCAGAGAGAAACTGTTAAGCTTTACTAGTCACTGACCTACCTGATTTATTGGAGCACAGAATAAGAATGAATAAGCCATCACACACACACACCCGGGTGCGGACACACACACACGCACTCGCACACACATACACACACACACAGTCTTTTATAACTAACCTTGTGGGGACACACAATTCATTCCCATTCAAAATCCTATTTTTCCTAACCTTAAGCCTAACCCTAACCCTAACCTCAACCCCGAAACTTAACCTTAACCCTAACCCTAAATCTAACCTTAGCTCCTAACCCTAACCCTAGCTCCTAACCTTAAACCTAATTCTAACCTTAACCTTAAACTGCCTATAAATAGCATTTTACCTTGTGGGGACTAACAAAATGTCCCCATTTGGTGAATTTTTTGTTTGTTTACTATAGTTAAACACGTCCACAACCCCCCCCCCACACACACACTCCCCACCCTGTGTTCCTCCCTCCCCCCACTGTCTGTACTGTGACTCTGCTTTGCACAGAAACATGTGCAACCACACACCCCCACCCACACACACCCACACCCACCCACCCACCCCCCCACACACACACACACACACACACACACACACACACTGGGGGAATCCAGCTTTCCTCCGCTCTTTGAGTCACACACCTAGTGACCCCACCTCAGGCTGTAGAAAGGAGGCCAGTTCTGATGGGGATTGTTTCCATAGAGATGGAGTCATTGTTTACGGACACGAGGCCACACCCTGATTACATGTTCTGGGCACTCAGAGCTCAAGGATATAGTGGAGAGAGGGGAGAAAGTCCACACAAAGCATGTCCCCCCAACCTCTCTCTCTCTCTCTCTCTTTCTTTTTTTTCCCCCTTCCAATTTCACGTTTCTCTCTTTGGTACTTGCCCCTGCACTTAAAAGGGGCTGTATCTCCATCTGAGCTTTCTCTGCATCCCAAGAGTACATGGAAATGCAAGAATAGACTCTATCCCTACCGCTTAGCTCTCATCTGACTCTCTTGAGTTGTACACTCTAACAGTGTGTGTGTTTGTGTGTGAGGAGCACAAGACTGCAGTGCCTTTGGGTTTGGAGGGTCTTTCCAGTGTGTGTGAATGTGGTTTGTTAGAACTGGGTGTCAGATCAAGATTAGCTGCAAAAACGGTGGTCCTGCCAGCTGTGCAAACTGCCTCTACACTTTATGGGAGGTTTCAATGGCTCAGGACCTATTAGACTGAGTAGAAACATTGAGCTGAAGCAAGCTAAAACGATATTAAAGTTTTTACCCTCAGTCCAAACACAAATTATGTACACACACAAACGCATTCATATGTGTGTATACACATAAGAGGTATCAACTGATTGGGCTACATTCACGGTGTCAAGAGTTCAAAAGCTTTCAATAAGCTCAATGCAATTCCTGGATGAATGCTCTCGTTATAGTCAATGCATAAGGTCATTCTGTCAGCCAATTTCTCTCTATAGCATGTGTGTGCGTGTGTGTGCGTGCATGGTGAGTGTGTGTGTGTGCAATGCATGTGTTAGTACAGTAGAGAGATAACATCTCTCATATCTTCAGGACACACATGCTTATAAACATGAATAGTTCTTTGCTGTGTCCCAAAAAAGGCCAATTGCAGGACTATTCATGTTTGTGGCGGATACAATGTATTCCTTCCATAGCACAGTGCTTTCTGTCATGTGTTTGCCTGTCATAGCTCTGTATTTGTATTTGCTGTGTGACTGTGTGTGCGGGAGCGTGCGTACTTGCGTGCGTGTGTGTGATAGAGTCTAGCAATGGCCTGGAGGTCTGGTGAACAGTGCTCTAATACTCTCTGTGGATTTTGATCAGTGAATAAATATAGTATCTAAGCTCATTTCCTGTGCGAAGCCTAAATATGATTTCCCCAAATCCGATTCTGCAGCTCTGCTGTCCTTGGTCCACACACACAAACACACACACAAACACACTCTCTATCTCTTTCTCTCTCTCCCTCTCTCTCTACGCAGCTCTATCCAGTTATACTGTGTTTGCTTCATTTACTTCGCACCTATTACCGTTCAGAACTGCATTTGTCAGCACTTTTAGTATTTATAGTTTGGACCTTGAGCTCGTATCCCTTCTGTTGCGCCGCATTTATGACGCTATCTCTCCCCTTTGGTTCTTCTCTCCCCCCTCTCCCTCCATATCTCTCTATCCCCACTGTTCTCTCCCTCCTCACCTTCTCCCTCCCCTCCTTCCCCTCCCTCCTCCCCCCTCTCTCCTCAGAGCCAGACTGGGCGTCAGTGACTCTGGGTGTGTTTGTGTGCCAGGGCTGTTCCCTCCTCCACAGAGGCGTCCCCCACATCAGCAGGGTCAAGTCTGTCCAGCAGGAGACATGGGACGCCTCAGAGGTCGAGGTCAGTAACACCTGCCAGAGAGGGAAGCAGGAGAGCAAGATACTGGGACCCTGTACATTATAATGTGTTGCATTACATTGGTACAAGTACATTTATTACATGTCACAACCTGATTAAGTCTGCTCATGTTAGAACAAAAAACAGACCTTCAGTAAGTTCCAGTAGTGTGTCTGATAGTGATATGCGGATCAGCTGTTTGTTCACCCGCACCCACCAGCAATTGCTAATAACCCGTCCGCAACCACCTGACTATTTGTGATAAAGTGAAAATCTGAGGACTGTACCCATCCCTAACCCGCAAATATAGAAAATGCGCTGTACAGTTCCCTTTTTTCTCTTGAACATTTATTGAACAATTACGTTTTTCTTCAACATTAATTAATTAATTAATTGCATATTTAGGCTTATTGAACAGTATATAACGATGCGAGCTCTCTGCTGCTCTCTCATCACGTCGAACCACTGTTCTCCATTCCCATGCACGCCAAGTAACCTACAACATTTTTCATTTCTATAAACTGCTTTACTGCCGTTGCATTAAACCATTCATCTGTGCTATTACAGGTAACAGAAACTCAAGGACTATTCCATTTGTTTATAAAAGAATGTGCTTTATTTTACGAGTTTCATTCATTGTAATACCTGTTGGTTTGAGAGCTCTGTATTTCACGCAATTTGTCATTGCGTTGGTTAGTCCCGTTTGGAATTCATATTCGGACAATTATCCATTGTATTGGTTGACCAGTAACTGTAGCAATTATGGTGTATGTTTATTGTGGTGACGTCTGTCTATTTGATTTCCTTTTAGTGTCTATAACGATGGTCTATTTATGTATCCGCTTTAAGTGCGCATTGGTATGGTTTCGCTCCAATTGGGCCCTAAAGCTTAGGCTTACGCACTAATGCCAGATAAAAAATTATGAAAAAAACAAAACAACTCAATGTAGCCTATAGATATGAATTGCACAAGATTTATACATTTATGGATTTGTATTGCATTGTTTTCTCTTTATTCAACCCGCCTGCCATTTACCCGCCCGCCCGCCCTTCATCCACACAATATTTCATGACTTTAAACCCCACCCCTCGGGACTGCGGGTTATGAGACAACCACCCGCGCATCACTAGTGTCTGACACATTGCCTTCTTTCGACTGGGAAGCCTAATCCCCACAGGGGCTTTTTCATCATTTCTAAATCCAATATAATGTTAACCCCAAGAGACCACACTGATAAGATGTGGGTAGTGAAAGCCTTCAGGGAGTGTTATTGACTGGGCATAGCACCACCTGGGGGATAGAAGGGAAAGAGGATTCTCAGACTAGTGAAGCTACAGTAAGACACGTTGATTGGAGTTGCTGATAATCCCTTGAGAGAAACATGAAGACAGCAAACAAGATGCTTGGAATGCAACTTAGTACTACTCTTAGTTTCCTTCCCCTAAGTATCAGTCTTTAAAAAATGCCTCTTGTCGGTGTTGTCAAGAATGATTTATATATACAGCTCTGGAAAAAAGTAAGAGACCACTGCAAAATTATCAGTTTCTCTGGTTTTACTATTTATAGGTATGTGTTTGGGTAAAAATACATGTGTTGTTTTATTCAATAAACTACTGACAACATTTCTCCCAAATTCCAAATATAAATATTGTCATTTAGAGCATTTATTTGCAGAAAATTACAATAATGCAAAGAAAATAAGTTCATGTTCGTTTTTAAACAACACAATAGTAATGTTTTAACTTAGGAAGAGTTCAGAAATCAATATTTGGTGGAATAACCCTGATTTTCAATCACAGCTTTCATGCGTCTTGGCATGCTCTCCACCAGTCTTTCACATTGATGTTGGGTGACTTTATGCCACTCCTGGCGCAAAAATTCAAGCAGCTCGGCTTTGTTTGATGGCTTGTGACCATCCATCTTCCTCTTGATCACATTCCAGAAGTTTTCAATGGGGTTCAGGTCTGGAGATTGGGCTGGCCATGACAGGGTCATGAACTGGTGGTCCTCCATCCACACCTTGATTGACCTGTCTGTGTGGCATGGTGCATTGTCCTGCTGGAAAAACCAATCCTCAGAGTTGGGGAACAATGTCAGAGCAAAAGGAAGCAAGTTTTCTTCCAGGACAACCTTGTACGTGGCTTGATTCATGCGTCCTTCACAAAGACAAATCTGCCCGATTCCAGCCTTGCTGAAGCACCCCCAGATCATCACTGATCCTCCACCAAATTTCACAGTGGGTGCGAGACACTGTGGCTTGTAGGCCTCTCCAGGTCTCCGTCTAACCATTAGACAACCAGGTGTTGGACAAAGCTGAAAATTGGACTCATCAGAGAAGATGACCTTACTCCAATCCTTATGGTCTTTTGCAAACCTCAGCCAGGCTCTTCTTTGCTTCTCATTGATGAAGGGCTTCTTTCTAGCTTTGCATGACTTCAGCCCTGCCCCTAGGAGCCTGTTTCGAACCGTCCTCGCCGTGCACTTCACCCCAGCTGCGGTTGTTGAGTGACATTCGAATTAGTTGGCAGTCATCCCGGTCAGTAGAGAGTCATTTTCGCCCTCTGCCGGTCTGTAGCTTTGTTGTCCCCAATGTCTGTTGCTTGACCTTATTCTTATGAACCGCCGTCTTTGAAATTTTAAGGAAGCAACCTGACGCTCACTGTATCCCTCTGCCAGTAAAGCCAGAATTTAACCCTTCTTTTCCTCACTCAAAACTTTCCTTTTCAACTCTTTTGGCATGGTCAATAGTTATTTTTTGATTAATATTACTTTTGAGGTACTATTAGCACTGTTTCTGCCATCCAGCTGGTCCTATTGCAAGAGGATAGTGATGACCATAGCAGTGGTTTTTATACTTTTCCTCGTTAAATAAGATTTGGTTCAGGTGATCACCTAATCAGTACCTAATTCAGTAGAATGAGGTGTGCCTGTGTTGGAATTCAACAGACACTGGAATGGAATGGCTGTCATACATGTAGAGATGCTGATTTAAGAAATATTTGCAGTGGTCTCTTAATTTTTTCCACAGCTGTATATACACTACCAGTCAAAAGTTTGGACACACCTACTCATTCAAGGGTTTTTCTTAATTTTTACTATTTTTTACATTGTAGAATAATAGTGAAGACATCAAAACTATGAAATAACACATATGGAATCATGTAGTAACCAAAAAAGTGTTAAACAAATCAAAATGTATTTTATATTTGAGATTCTTCAAATAGCCACCCTTTGCCTTGATGACAACTTTTCACACTCTTTGCATTCTCTCAACCAGCTTCAACTGGAATGCTTTACCAACAGTCTTGAAGGAGTTCCCATGTATGCTGAGCACTTGTTGGCTGCTTTTCCTTCACTCTGCCGTCCGACTCATCCCAAACCATCTCAATTGGGTTGAGGTCAGGGGATTGTGGAGGCCAGGTCATCTGATGCAGCACTCCATCACTCTCCTTCTTGGTAAAATAGCCCTTACACAGCCTGGAGGTGTGTTGGGTCATTGTCCTGTTGAAAAACAAATGATAGTCCCACTAAGCCCAAACCAGATGGGATGGCGTGTCACTGCAGAATGCTGTGGTAGCCATGCTGGTTAAGTGTGCCTTGAATTCTAAATAAATCACAGACAGTGTCACCAGCAAAGCACACCCACACCATAACACCTCCTCCTCCGTGCTTTTCGGTGGGAAAACACATGCGGAGATCATCCGTTCATCCACATCGCGTCTCACAAAGACACAGCGGTTGGAACCAAAAATCTCCAATTTGGACTCCAGACCAAAGGACAAATTTCCACCGGTCTAATGTCCATTGCTCGTGTTTCTTGGCCCAAGCAGGTCTCTTCTTATTATTGGTGTCCTTTAGTAGTGGTTTCTTTGCAGCAATTTGACCATGAAGGCCTGATTCACACAGTCCCCTCTGAACAGTTGATGTTGAGATGTGTCTGCGACTTGAACTCTGAAGCATTTATTTGGGCTGCAATTTCTGAGGCTGGTAACTCTAATGAACTTATCCTCTGCAGCAGAGGTAACTGTGGGTCTTCCATTCCTGTGGTGGTCCTCATGAGAGCCAGTTTCATCATAGCGCTTGATGGTTTTTGCGACTGCACTTGAAGAAACGTTCAAAGTTCTTGAAATGTTTCGTATTGACTGACCTTCATGTCTTAAAGTAATGATGGACTGTCGTTTCTCTTTGCTTATTTGAGCTGTTCTTGCCATAATATGGACTTCGTCTTATACCAAATAGGGCCATCTTCTGTATACCCCCCCACCTTGTCACAATACAACTGATTGGCTCAAACACATTAAGAAGGAAAGAAATTCCACAAATTAACTTTTAAGAAGGCACACCTGTTAATTGAAATGATTTCCAGGTGACTACCTCATGAAGCTGGTTGAGAGAATGCCAAGAGTGTGCAAAGCGGTCATCAAGGCAAAGGGTGGCTAATATATTTTGATTTGTTTAACACTTTTTTGGTTACTACATGATTCCATATGTGTTATTTCATAGTTTTGATGTCTTCACTATTATTCTACAATGTAGAAAACCCTTGAATGAATAGATGTGTCCAAACTTTTGACTGGTTCTGTATATACAGTGAGGGAAAAAAGTATTTGATCCCCTGCTGATTTTGTACATTTGCCAACTGACAAAGACATGATCAGTCTATAATTTTAATGGTAGGTTTATTTGAACAGTGAGAGACAGAATAACAACAAAAAAATCCAGAAAAACACATGTTAAAAATATTATAAATTGATTTGCATTTTAATGAGGGAAATAAGTATTTGACCCCTCTGCAAAACATGACTTAGTACTTGGTGGCAAAACCCTTGTTGGCAATCACAGAGGTCAGACCTTTCTTGCAGTTGGCCACCAGGTTTGCACACATCTCAGGAGGGATTTTGTCCCACTCCTCTTTGCAGATCTTCTCCAAGTCATTAAGGTTTCGAGGCTGCCGTTTGACAACTCGAACCTTCAGCTCCCTCCACAGATTTTCTATGGGATTAAGGTCTGGAGACTGGCTAGGCCACTCCAGGACCTTAATGTGCTTCTTCTTGAGCCACTCCTTTGTTGCCTTGGCCGTGTGTTTTGGGTCATTGTCATGCTGGAATACCCATCCACAACCCATTTTCAATGCCCTGGCTGAGTGAAGGAGGTTCTCACCCAAGATTTGACGGTACATGGCCCCGTCCATCGTCCCTTTGATGCGGTGAAGTTGTCCTGTCCCCTTAGCAGAAAAACACCCCCAAAGCATAATATTTCCACCTCCATGTTTGACGGTGGGGATGGTGTTCTTGGGGTCATAGGCAGCATTCCTCCTCCAAACACGGCGAGTTGAGTTGATGCCAAAGAGCCCGATTTTGGTCTCATCTGACCACAACACTTTCACCCAGTTCTCCTCTGAATCATTCAGATGTTCATTGGCAAACTTCAGACGGGCCTGTATATGTGCTTTCTTGAGTAGGGGGACCTTGCGGGCGCTGCAGGATTTCAGTTCTTCACCTTGTAGTGTGTTACCAATTGTTTTCTTGGTGACTATGGTCCCAGCTGCCTTGAGATCATCCTCCCGTGTAGTTCTGGGCTGATTCCTCACCGTTCTCATGATCATTGCAACTCCACGAGGTGAGATCTTGCATGGTGCCCCAGGCCGAGGGAGATTGACAGTTCTTTTGTGTTTCTTCCATTTGCGAATAATCGCACCAACTGTTGTCACCTTCTCACCAAGCTGCTTGGCGATGGTCTTGTAGCCCATTCCAGCCTTGTGTAGGTCTACAATCTTGTCCCTGACATCCTTGGAGAGCTCTTTGGTCTTGGCCATGGTGGAGAGTTTGGAATCTGATTGATTGATTGCTTCTGTGGACAGGTGTCTTTTATACAGGTAACAAACTGAGATTAGGAGCACTCCCTTTAAGAGTGTGCTCCTAATCTCAGCTCGTTACCTGTATAAAAGACACCTGGGAGCCAGAAATCTTTCTGATTGAGAGGGGGTCAAATACTTATTTCCCTCATTAAAATGCAAATCAATTTCTAACATTTTTTACATGCTTTTTTCTGAATTTTGTTGTTGTTATTCTGTCTCTCACTGTTCAAATAAATCTACCATTAAAATGATAGACTGATAATTTCTTTGTCAGTGGGCAAACGTACAAAATCAGCAGGGGATCAAATACTTTTTTCCCTCACTGTACATGCTATATGACTGATGGAGGGGCGTAGTGTTGAAGCCACCGTACCTCCATCTTGGCACTCCCCCACCAATTATTTTGGAAGCTATAGAAATGCATTTATTAATGACTACTTTCGTTTTTGCCACATGTATTCTATTACAGACACCTTAATGCATACTTTTAAATTATACTATGTGAGCAAAATAAATTTAAAAAAAATACATAAAAACATTTTCCTTAATGTATAATTTTTTGAGATTACTAATATTACTGTCCCCACTACAACAAAAAATACTTAAATACATCTAATTTTGTCCTTGAAACATTTAATTGAAATACTGTAGAATTCCATTCATTCTTATGGAAGACTGCTCCTACTGGGGAGTGACAAAATGGCCGATCGGTGGCTTCAAAGCCTCTCAATGGCCAATACATAGCATCAGCAATCCAGGGTTTATATACGTAATTGGTTTCATTCAATGCATTCATTGATTTGAATTAAAACCGAGAAATCTTTATTGTTCCATCTGTCCTCAGCTAATGGCTGCTATGGGTAATGAAGCAGCCAAAGCCAAGTACGAACAGAAGGTTCCAGCATTCTACTACAGACCCAAACACACAGACTGCAAGTAAGTCACCCACATCACTGAGTTATAATGATGTAATAGCAACGTTTGGTCGATTAGTATGTAGACAGATAGTGGTATACAAAGACATCACTGCTGTGTCAAGTGCTGTTACTGTAAAACGTTTAATGTTTCACACCAGCACTGAAATGTAACACGCTGCAGTACTTCTTCTTCCTTTGTGTTTGTGTGTGTGTGTGCATGTGTGTGTGTCTGTGTGTTTGGTTGTTGGTGTATGTGTGTGCGAGTGTGTGTGTATGTGCATGCGTTTGCCTGTGAAAGAAAAAGAGAGAGAGCGAGCGAGCGAGAGAGAGAGAGACAGAGAGAGAAAGAGATTAAGCAAAAGTGTGAAGTGTGACTAGTACAATGACAGCACCGAGTTATGCCTCTTGAAAAACAGTGTGTTGTCTTTGTGTTTGTGCCATTACTCTTCTCTGTGGGTGCCAATAATGACCCAATAAGCATATTACATGTGAGAGAGGGAATATTGAGAGGCAGATTTGGTTCTGTGTCAATTGAATGGATTACTTTAATCTGATTAATCTGATGTTTGTGGGTTCAGAAAAGCTGCTAAATACTGTCTGACCATACTGACATGATTATAAGAGACATGAAAGAATGATAGGAACATCTCAAATATATGTTTTTAAACTGTATGTAGGTCTATCAGAGAGAGAGAGAGAGAGGAGAGAGGCTGTTGTCATGGTGATGTTCACGCCTCTACACACACAACCAAAAATAGATCTTCTATTATTAATCTGTTTACTCATACTAATCAATCTCTTTATCCTGGAGTAAAGGATTAAAGGTGTAAAGGAGTGTGTGTGTGTGTGTGTGTGTGTGTGTGTGTATGTGTGTGTGTGTGTGTGTGTGTGTGGGCAATGAAGATGAAAGGAGAATCTGTCACAGCGAGATAAGTAGAAATGTGGCCTGTGTCCCAAACTCCCAGCTTGTTAGGTCATCATCCATTCACATAACAGCATGGCACCTGTGCTATAGAGAAAGGTGAGAGAAGGTGAAACCCATCCATTGCTTCATTGTTCTCCAGGCTGCTGCGGGAGCAGTGGATCCGAGCCAGGTACGAGAGGAACGAGTTTGAGTTCATCGAGAAACAGGAGCCGTACTCTGCAGGTGAGCTGGCACACATACACATAATCCTAACCTTAACCCCAAACCCCAAATATTAAATCTAACCCTAACTCCTAACCCTAACCCTAACCCTAAACCTAACCCCTAACCCTAATTCTAACCCTAACCCTAAACCTAACCCCTAACCCTAATTCTAACCCTAACCCTAAACCTAACCCCTGAGCCTAAAATAGCCTTTTTTGTTGTGGGGACCAGCAAAATGTCCCCCCACACAGAATTTTCCTTGTTTTACTATCCTTGTGATGACTTCTGGTCTTGACAAGGATAGTAAAATCAAAAACACACATACTCCTTTCCTTTCACCTTCATTGCCCGCACACACACACACACACACACACACACACACACCCACACACACACACACAAGCTTTGCCTATGCAAAGCAATGGATGCAGAGCTATGCAAAATCAAACCAACAAATAGTCCTTCTCTGAAAACGAAATAAATCCTTTCCCAAGCATCATCAAGTCAGATAATTTTTTTAACCATTGCACTCAACAGTGTCCGCAGAAATGCTTTTTGTGAACTATGAATTCAAGAAAGGATGAGATTGAGACATAGGATGAAAGCAGAGTGAATATGTCTGGCCTTGAATTCTTCCTTGGTGGTTGTTTGTGTTCTTACTAAGCTGAGACAGACAGTATTCACCCCCCTTGGCATTTTTCCTATTTTGTTGCCTTACAACCTGGAATTAAAATGGATTTTTGGGGGATTTGTATCATTTGATTTACACAACATGCCTACCACTTTGAAGATGCAAAATATATTTTTTGGTGAAACAAACTTGAGCCCCCCCCAACAAAGTCAAAACTTTGTAGATCCACCTTTTGCAGCAATTACAGCTGCAAGTCTCTTGGGGTATGTCTCTATAAGCTTGGCACATCTAGCCACTGGGATTTTTGCCCATTCTTCAAGGCAAAACTGCTCCAGCTCCTTCAAGTTGGATGGGTTCCGCTGGTGTACAGCAATCTTTAAGTCATACCACAGATTCTCAATTGGATTGAGGTCTGGGCTTTGACTAGGCCATTCCAAGACATTTAAATGTTTCCCCTTAAACCACTCGAGTGTTGCTTTAGCTGTATGCTTAGGGTCATTGTCCTGCTGGAAGGTGAACCACCATCCCAGTCTCAAATCTCTGGAAGACTGAAACAGGTTTCCCTCAAGAATTTCCCTGTATTTAGCGCCATACATCATTCCTTCAATTCTGACCAGTTTCCCAGTCCCTGCTGATGAAAAACATCACCACAGCATGATGCTGCCACCACCATGCTTCACTGTGGGGATGGTGTTTTCGGGTGATGAGAGGTGTTGGGTTTGCGCCAGACATAGCGTTTTCCTTGATGGCCAAAAAGCTCAATTTTAGTCTCATCTGACCAGAGTACCTTCTTCCATATGTTTGGGGAGTCTCCCACATGCCTTTTGGCGAACACCAAACGTGTTTGCGTATTTTTTTCTTTAAGCAATGGCTTTTTTCTGTCTACTCTTCCGTAAAGCCCAGCTCTGTGGAGTGTACGGCTTAAAGTGGTCCTATGGTCAGATACTTCAATCTCCGCTGTGGAGCTTTGTAGCTCCTTCAGGGTTATCTTTGGTCTCTTTGTTGCCTCTCTGATTAATGCCCTCCTTGCCTGGTCCGTGAGTTTTGGTGGGTGACCCTCTCTTGGCAGGTTTGTTGTGGTGCCCCTTGCTTAGTGGTGTTGCAGACTCTGGGGCCTTTCAGAACAGGTGTATATATACTGAGATCATGTGACAGATCATGTGACACTTAGATTGCACACAGGTGGACTTTATTTAACTAATTATGTGACTTCTGAAGGTAATTGGTTGCACCAGATCTTATTTAGGGGCTTCATAGCAAAGGGGTTATTTTTTTCATTTAACTTCACCAATTTCGACAATTTTGTGTATGTCCATTACATGAAATCCAAATATAAATGCAACAAAATAGGAAAAATGCCAAAGGGGATGAATACTTTTGCAAGGCACTGTAAGTGTTAATGTTAGTGAATGACTCATGCTCTTATTTCATTGCATGAAAGCACACTCGCTCTTATTGGAGCCAGACTGGACTCTCATTGATTAAAGATGACCTCATCTGTTTACTATGAGATTCAACTTCCTCCTTGGGCACACACACACACTAGTGATACGCGGGTTGACTCATAACCCGCAGTCCCTGCGGTTATATCCGCAGGGTGGGCAGGTTTAGGGTCATGCAATAGTGTGTGGAAGAAGAGCGGATGGGTAAAGAGAAAACAATGCAATAAAAATCCACAAATGTAGAATTCTTGTGCAATTCATATCTATAGGCTACATTGAGGTTTTTCTTTCATAATTTTTTATCTGGCATTAGTGTGTAAGCTTGAACTGTATGCGCACAAAATACATGCCGTTTTTTGTTTCAGCAAAATATTACTAGGCTACTCTGTTAAGATATCACGGGATCCGGCAGTCTAACTTAGGAGGGTTTAAGCACCAGAGAACAACCAGAAATAAAGTAAGGTGCAGAATTAAGGTTTTATTTACAAGTGCTGTCCAGTGAAATTACTGCTGGAGAATATTTACAATAGCAGTCCTCCTGATAACGGTAAAGAACGGGCTTATATACCCACAATACCCCGGCGCACCCAATTGGAGCGAAACCATACCAATGCGCACTTAAACCGGATACATGGATAGATCATCATTATAGGTACTAAAAGGAAATCAAATAGACAGACGTCACCACAATAAACATACACCATAATTGCTACAGTTACTGGTTAAGCAATACAATGGATAATTGTCAGAATATAGCATGAATCCCAAACGGGACTAACCAATGCAATGACAGATTGCGTGAAATACAGAGGTGTGTCGCATCTGCATGCACAAGCATGCACACACACACGTCCCACACACACACGCACACACTCACACACAAACACACGTTTGTTTTACTATCTTTTTTTTTTTAAGGGGTAGATCAGCTTTAATATTGCAAATAGATTGTAACTTCCATCAATGTAATTGTCTGCATCACTTCCAATCCCCCATATGTTTTTTCTCTCTCGCAAATATATATATATATATATATATATATATATATATATATATATATATATATATATATATACTGTACATACATACACATACACTACCGTTAACCCCAAACCCCTAAAACTAAAGCTAACCCTTACCCATATCTCTAATTCTAACCCTAAACCTAACCCCTGACCCTAAAATAGTATTTTTCCTTGTGTGGACCGGCGAAATGTCCCCACTTGTTTTACTATCCTTGTGAGGACTTCTGGTCTCTACAAGGATAGTAAAATCTAAAACACACACACTCCTTTCCTTTCACCTTAATTGCACGCACGCACGCAAACACACACACACACACACACACACACACACACACACACACACACACACACACAGCTGTATGTCTGGCTGCATTGGGCAGGAGATTTGTATTTGTTTATATCTATTTGCATCACATAATATTTGCATTATCTATACATTTGCATCAGCTGTACCCAAGGCTAAAAGGAATAGATCCATAGTTCCTACCCTCATCCATACATATGTCGCCTCTCTAACCTCTTCAGGGCCCTGTATGTTCTGTTAGCTTTATCCTTCTGCAGAGCAGGGAGGGTGGTGGTAAACTAGCCTCCCCAGTGCTTGATGGCGGTATTGATTCTGTATGCAGAGAAAAGGGAGGAGGTGGAGGAGAGGGGGTTGTTATTGATCGATGAGGTAATGCAAGGTGAATTAATCACGTCTGACTGGGAAAAAGAGAGACGCCAACCTCTGTCACCAGGGGTTGGAGAGATGAGAGGGAGGAGAAAACAGGGGACAGAGGAGGAAGGAGAGACGTTGGGGGTATGAAACTTGAGGGGTGCTGGATGGGAAGATTGAAAATAGGGATTAGTAGTATGTCATGCATTGATAGAGTAAACAGTACCTTCGGAAAGTATTCAGACCCCTCTACTTTTTCCACATTTTGTTAGGTTACAGACTTATTCTAAAATTGATTAAATAGTTTTTTCCCCCTCATCAATCTACACACAATACCCCATAATGACAAAGCAAAAACTGTTTTTTAGTAATTTTTGCTAAATAATAAAACGGTAATATCACATTTACATAAGTATTCAGACTCTTTACTCAGTACTTTGTTGAAGCAGCTTTGGCAGCGATTACAGCCTCAAGTATTTTTGTGTATGACGCTGCAAGCTTGGCACACCTGTATTTAGGAAGTTTCTCCCATTCTTCTCTGCAGATCCTTTCAAGCTCGGTCAGGTTGGATGGGGAGCGTTGCTGCACAGCTATTTTCAGGTCTCTCCAGAGATGTTCGATCGGGTTCAAGTCCAGGCTCTGGCTCGGCCACTCAAGGACATTCAGAGACTTGTCCCGAAGCCACTCCTGCGATGTCTTGGCTGTGTGCTTAGGGTTGTTGTCCTGTTGGAAGGTGAACCTTCGCCCCAGTCTGAGGTCCTGAGCGCTCTGGAGCAGGTTTTCATCAAGGATCTCTCAGTACTTTGCTCCGTTCATCTTTGCCTCGTCTCCCAGTCCCTGCCGCTGAAAAACATCCCAACAGCATGATGCTGCCACCACCATGCTTCACCATAGGGATGGTGTCAGGTTTCCTCCAGACATGACGCATGGCATTCAGGCCAAAGAGTTCAATGTTGGTTTCTTCAGACCAGAGAATCTTGTTTCTCATGGTCTGAGAGTCTTTAGGTGCCTTTTGGCAAACTCCAAGCGGGCTGTCATGTGCCTTTTTCTGAGGAGTGGCTTCCGTCTGGTCACTCTACCATAAAGGCCTGATTGGTGGAGTGCTGCAGAGATGGTTGTCCTTCTGGAAGGTTCTCCCATCTCCACAGAGGAAATCTAGAGCTCTGTCAGAGTGACCATCAGGTTCTTTGTCACCTCCCTGACCAAGACCTTCTCCCCCGATTGCTCAGTTTGGCCGGGCGGCCAGCACTAAGAAGAGTCTTGGTGGTTCCAAACTTCTTTCATTTAAGATTGATGGAGGCCATTGTGTTCTTGGGGACCTTCAATGCTCTAGACATTTTTTGGTACCCTTCTCCAGATCTGTGCCTCGACACAATCCTGTCTCGGAGCTCTACGGACAATTCCTTCGACCTCATGCCTTGGTTTTTGCTCTGACATGCACTGTCAACTGTGGGACTTAATATAGACAGGTGTGTGCCTTTCCAAATCATGTCCAATCAATTGAATTTTCCCCAGGTGGACTCCAATCAAGTTGTAGAAACATCTCAAGGATGATCAATGGAAACAGTATGCACCTGAGCTCAATTTCGAGTCTCATAGCAAAGGGTAAAAAAAATAAACAACATGTTTTCGCTTTGTCATTATGGGGTATTGTGTGTAGATTGTTGAGGATGTTTAAAAAAAATCCATTTTAGAATAAGGCTGTAACGTAACAAAATGTGGAAAAAGTTAAGGGGTCTGAATACTTTCCGAAGGCACTGTATGTGAATATGTATGAGACAGGGAGGGGAGATAGATAGATAGATAGATAGATAGATAGATAGATAGATAGATAGATAGATAGATAGATAGATAGATAGATAGATAGATAGATAGATAGATAGATAGATAGATAGATAGATAGATAGATAGATATATAGATTGTCACACCCTGGCTCTGGGGACTCTATATGTTGAGCCAGGGTGTGTAGATTCTATGTATTCTAGTTCTGTGTTGTAGGTCTATGTGTTCTATTTCTATGTTGGCCAGTGTGGTTCTCAATCAGAGGCAACGAGTGTCAGCTGTGGCTGGTTGTCTCTGATTGGGAACCATATTTAAACAGTCTGTTTTCCATTCGTGTTTGTGGGATCTTGTTCCGTTTTTGGTTTGTTGCCGTGTCGGTTGTGTTATACCGAGGACGTCATGTTTTCGTTTTGTTGTTTTGTTCGTGCATTCATTAAATAAATAATATGTTTGCAACTAACGCTGCGCATTGGTCTACTCTCTACGACGATCGTGACAGAAGATCCCACCATACCAGGACCAAGCAGCAGATCTTGGACGGGCAGGGGTCCTGGACCTGGGAGGAAATCCAGGCCGGGATGGATCGCCGTCCATGGAGGGAGACGGTAGAGGCGCGACGTAGAGAGGAGCAACGGCGTAAACAGAGTCGTCGTCGGTCGGACGAGAGGCAACCCCAAAAAATGTTTAGGGGGGGGGCACACGGCATGGGCGACTGGGCAGCAGGAGGCTGCCACAGGGCGATTGGGGAGATTTGGAGAGGAGGCCACCGGGTTTGGGGGGCCAGAAGGCAGGTTGGCGGAGCCTGGATGGAGAGCAGAGCCAACTCCCCGTACTCAGGCATGGCAGCATGGGACTGGGCAGGTTCCGCGGTATGCGGAGCTGCGTACTGTGCCACGAGTGGTCCGGCATAGTCCGGTACGTCCTGTGCGAGCACCCCGCACGTGTCGTGCGAAGGTGGGCATGCAGCCAGGACGGAGTGTGCCGGCTCAGCGCTCGTGGTCTCCAGTGCCTCTCCTCAGTCCCGTATATCCTGCGCCAGTGTCACGTGCTGTTATGCCAGTACGGGTACACAGCCCTGTACGTCCTGTGCAGATGCCTCACACAGAGTGTGTGAAGGTAGGCATTCAGCCAGGACGGGTTGTGGCCGCTCTTCACTCTAGGCCTCCTATCCGTGTCCACAGCCCGGCCCGGCCTGTTCCTGCCCCTCGCACCAAGCCTACGGTGCGTGTCGCCAGCCCGGCCCGGCCTGTTCCTGCTCCACGCACCAAGCCTACGGTGCGCGTCGCCAGCCCGGCCCGGCCTGTTCCTGCTACTCGCACCAAGCCTACGGTGCGCGTCGCCAGCCCAGCCCGGCCCGGCCTGTTCCTGCTCCCCGCACCAAGCCTACGGTGCGCGTCGCCAGCCCGGCCCGGCCTGTTCCTGCCACTCGCACCAAGCCTACGGTGCGCGTCGCCAGCCCGGCCCGGCCTGTTCCTGCCACTCGCACCAAGCCTACGGTGCGCGTCGCCAGCCCGGCCTGTTCCTGCCACTCGCACCAAGCCTACGGTGCGCGTCGCCAGCCCAGCCCAGCCCGGCCCGGCCTGTTCCTGCTCCCCGCACCAAGCCTACGGTGCGCGTCGCCAGCCCGGCACGGCCTGTTCCTGCCACTCGCACCAAGCCTACGGTGCGCGTCGCCAGCCCGGCCCGGCCTGTTCCTGCCACTCGCACCAAGCCTACGGTGCGCGTCGCCAGCCCGGCCTGTTCCTGCCACTCACACCAAGCCTACGGTGCGCGTCGCCAGCCCGGCCCGGCCTGTTCCTGCCACTCGCACCAAGCCTACGGTGCGCGTCGCCAGCCCGGCCCGGCCTGTTCCTGCCACTCGCACCAAGCCAGGGGTGCGAGTCGTCAGCCCGGCCCGGCCTGTTCCTGCCACTCGTACCAAGCCAGGGGTGCGAGTCGTCAGCCCGGTAAGGCCCGTTGCTGCTCCACGCACCAAACCAGGGGTGCGCATCGTCAGCCCGGTCCGGCCCGTTCCTGCTCCACGCACCAAGCCAAGGGTGCACATCGTCAGTCCGGTCCGGTCCGTTCCTGCTCCACGCACCAAGCCAGGGGTGTGTGTCGTCAGTCCGGTCCGGCCCGTTCCTGCTCCACGCACCAAGCCAGGGGTGTGCGTCGTCAGTCCGGCACAACCCGTGCCTGGGTCACCGGTGCCTGGTCAGGTACCGGTCAGCTGCTCCACACCGGAGCTGAAGCAATCCGCTCCTACGATGTCCAGTCCAGCTCCAGCCAGCGGGGCCAGACCGGACCAGGGGCGCTACGGGGGGAGTATTGAAGGGTGGTGGTCAAGCCCGGAGCCGGAACCGCCTCCTAGGAGGAATGCCCACCCAGCCCTCCCCTGGTTTGTCTATGTTGAGGCGCGGTCGCAGTCCGCGCCTTTGGGGGGGGGGGTACTGTCACACCCTGGCTCTGGGGACTCTATATGTTGAGCCAGGGTGTGTAGATTCTATGTATTCTAGTTCTGTGTTGTAGGTCTATGTGTTCTATTTCTATGTTGGCCAGTGTGGTTCTCAATCAGAGGCAACGAGTGTCAGCTGTGGCTGGTTGTCTCTGATTGGGAACCATATTTAAACAGTCTGTTTTCCATTCGTGTTTGTGGGATCTTGTTCCGTTTTTGGTTTGTTGCCGTGTCGGTTGTGTTATACCGAGGAAGTCACGTTTTCGTTTTGTTGTTTTGTTCGTGCATTCATTAAATAAATAATATGTTTGCAACTAACGCTGCGCATTAGTCTACTCTCTACGACGATCGTGACATAGATAGATAGATAGATAGATAGATAGATAGATAGATAGATAGATACAGTGAACAGAGATTTGTGGGAGGGAGGAGAAAGGAAAATAGTAAAGTAAAGAGAGAAAGATTGCGGGGTAGAGGGGAGAAAGAGAGAGAGAGAATTTGAGAGAGTAAGAGAGAGATGAAGAGAGTGTGTAGCCTGTAATGAATTACACACAGTGCTCTGCACTGCCACTTAATGAATCCACTTCATGTCTGTAAGAGGTCCAGAAATAGACTGGAAGGACTTATTGATGAAGACAGAAATAGAGTGTTGTGTCATTTAACATGTAAAAGGATGTACTTTACCATCAGTGAGGTTATTTTGTCTTCCTGTCATCTTTTCTCTGACTTCCTCTCTCGTGTACTCTCTTTCACCTAAAGCCCCTCTCTCTGTCTCTTCATCCCTCTCTTTCTGTCTCTCTTTCTCTCTCCCTTCATATGCTTTGGTATTTCTTGATTACACCAGATAGTTATTTCAGTTTGTCTGGTGTGTTTCTATCTACCCAGGGTACAGAGAGGGGTTTCTATGGAAACGGGGGCGGGACAACGGTCAGTTCTTCAGCCGGAAATTCATCCTGTCAGAACGAGAGGGGGCGCTCAAGTATTTCAACAAGCAGGACGTAAGGCTGGAGTCAACACGTATTCACATCTACACATATACACATGCTCTCACACATAAATACAAGCATGTTCCTGAGAAATGTAATCTCCAGCTAACTTATGCTACTAGCTTTCAAGTTAATCATCTCAAGTTAATCATCTCTTTCAAGTTAATCATGAATACTTTTATAGCAGGCTATGTAGACTGTATGTGTCCACAAGGAAACTAAAACAAATACCTCAACAGACTTAATCTCCTTACCTATCTGTTTGTGTTTGCTGTAAACATACAGTATGTATTATTCTATGTAACAATTTATACATATACTGTATTTATGTACCGTACAGTTTGTGTATCTCCCACAGGCACGGGACCCCAAGGCGGTGATGAAGATCGAGACTCTCAATGCCACATTCCAGCCGGCTAAGATAGGCAACCCCTACGGCCTGCAGATCACCTACCTGAGAGACAACAGCACCAGGAACATCTTTGTCTACCACAACGACTCTAAGGTGAGGCATTATGGGTGACTGTGACAAAATGGACTCTGTGGCTCTGTATCCTGGTCCCAGATCTGTTTATACTGGTATAGCCAACTCCTATTGTATCATGTGTAAATGCACCAAATTCTTAGAGATATGATGTATGATGAATCATCATTTCAATGGTACACCTAATATGGCCGCTGTTCCGCATATCAAGGAACACTGATTTAGTCTGTTCAACTAAATCTGATTCTACCATTTGAGTCTCTACACTCTTAGAAAAAGGGGTTCCAAAAAGGTTATTCGGCTTTCCCCATAGGAGAACCCTTTTTGCTTCCAGGTAGAACTCTTTTGGGTTCCATGTAAAACCCTCTGGGGAAAGGATTCTACAAGGAACCTAATATGATTCTACTGGGAACCAAAAGGGTTCTACATGGAACCAAAATGGGTTCTTCAAAGGGTTCTCCTATGGGGACAGCCGAAGAACCCTTTTAGGTTCTAGATAGCACCATTTTTTCTAAGAGTGTACGTCTCTAATAGATATGGGTTGTTTTGGATAACTGAGTGAGAGTGGAAATAAACTTGTCTAGATGTCTATTTCAGCAGTAGACATGTTCTTCACTGTGACAGCAGTACTCGTCATCCTGCCATGTAATCTGGTCAGTGGAGCTGGCTAGAGGAATGTGGAGGGGGTTGTAATCAAATCAAATCAAATCAAATTGTATTTGTCACATGCGCCGAATACAACAGGTGTAGACCTTACAGTGAAATGCTTACTTACAAGCCCTTAACCAACAATGCAGTTTTAAGAAAGAATACCAAATAAAATCACTCAAAAAAATACAATATCAAATAATACGAAATAAAAGTAACAAATCATTAAAGAGCAGCAGTAAAAATAACAATAGCGAAGCTATATACAGGGGGTACCGGTACCGAGTCAATGTGCGGGGGCACCGGTTAGTCGAGGTAATTGAGGTAATGAACTCAGCAAAAAAAGAAACTTCCTCTCACTGTCAACTGCGTTTATTTTCAGCAAACTTGTGTAAATATTTGTATGAACATAACAAGATTCAACAACTGAGACATAAACTGAACAAGTTCCACAGACATGTGACTAACATAAATTGAATAATGTGTCCCTGAACAAAGGAGGAATCAAAATCAAAAGTAACAGTCAGTATCTGGTGTGGCCACCAGCTGCATTAAGTACTGCAGTGCATCTCCTCCTCATGGACTGCACCAGATTTGCCAGTTCTTGCTGTGAGATGTTACCCCACTCTTCCACCAAGGCACCTGCAAGTTCACAGACATTTCTGGGGGGAATGGCCCTAGCCCTCACCCTCCAATCCAACAGGTCCCAGACATACTCAATGGGATTGTGATCCAGGCTCTTCGCTGGCCATGGCAGAACACTGACATTCCTGTCTTGCAGGAAATCACGCACAGAACTAGCAGTATGGCTGGTGGCATTGTCATGCTGGAGGGTCATGTCAGTATGAGCATGCAGGAAGGGTACCACATGAGGGAGGAGGATGTCTTCCCTGTAACGCACAGCGTTGAGATTGCCTGCAATGACAACAAGCTCAGTCCGATGATGCTGTGACACACCGCCCCAGACCATGACGGACCCTCCACCTCCAAATTGATACCGTACTGGCCTCGGTGTAATGCTCATTCCTTCGACGATAAACCCGAATCCAACCATCACCCCTGGTGAGACAAAACCGCAACCCGTCATTGAAGAGCACTTTTTGCCAGTCCTGTCTGTCCAGCGACGGTGGGTTTGTGCCCATAGGCGACGTTGTTGCCGGTGATGTCTGGTGAGGACCTGCCTTACAACAGGCCTACAAGCCCTCAGTCCAGCTTCTCTCAGCCTATTGCGGACAGTCTGAGCACTGATGGAGGGATTGTGCGTTCCTGGTGTAACTCGGGCAGTTGTTGTTGCCATCCTGTACCTGTCCCGCAGGTGTGATGTTCGGATGTACTAATCCTGTGCAGGTGTTGTTACACGTGGTCTGCCACTGCGAGGACGATCAGCTGTCCGTCCTGTCTCCCTGTAGCGCTGTTTTAGGCGACTCACAGTACAGACATTGCAATTTATTGCCCTGGCCACATCTGAGGTCCTCATGCCTCCTTGCAACATGCCTAAGGCACGTTCACGCAGATGAGCAGGGACCCTGGGCATCTTTCTTTTGGTGTTTTTCATAGTCAGTAGAAGGCCTCTTTAGTGTCCTAGGTTTTCATAACTGTGACCTTAATTGCCTACTGTCTGTATGCTGTTAGTGTCTTAACGACCGTTCCACAGGTGCATGTTCATTAATTGTTTATGGTTCATTGAACAAGCATGGAAAACAGTGTTTAAACCCTTTACAATGAAGATCTGTGAAGTTATTTGGATTTTTACGAATTATCTTTGAAAGACAGGGTCCTGAAAAAGGGATGTTTCTTTTTTTGCTGAGTTTATGTACATGTAGGTAGAGTTATTAAAGTGACTATGCATAGATAATAAACAGAGAGTAGCAACAGCGTAAAGGGGGGGGGGGGGGGGGGGGGGGGGGCAATGCAAATAGTCTGGGTAGCCATTTGATTAGATGTTCAGGAGTCTTATGGCTTGGGGGTAGAAGCTGTTTAGAAGCCTCTTGGACCTAGACTTGGCGCTACGGTACCACTTACCGTGTGGTAGCAGAGAGAACAGTCTATGACTAGGGTGGCTGGAGTCTTTGACAATCTATACCACCTGGTATAGAGGTCTTGGATGGCAGGAAGCTTGGCCCCAGTGATGTACTGGGCCGTACACACTACCCTCTGTAGTGCCTTGCAGTCGGAGGCCGAGCAGTTGCCATACCAGGCAGTGATGCAACCAGTCAGTATGCTCTCGATGGTGCAGCTGCCAAGTCTTTTCAGTCTCCTTAGGGGGAATAGGTTTTGTCGTGCCCTCTTCACGACTGTCTTGGTGTGCTTGGACCATGTTAGTTTGTTGGTGATGTGGACACCAAGGAACTTGAAGCTCTCAACCTGCTCCACTACAGCCCGTCAATGAGAATAGGGGTGTGCTTGGTCCTCTTATTTTTCCTGTAATCCACAATCATCTCCTTTTTCTTGATCACGTTGAGGGAGAGGTTGTTGTCCTGGCACCGCACGGCCAGGTCTCTGACCTCCTCCCTATAGGCTGTCTCATCGTTGTCGGTGATCAGGCCTACCACTGTTGTGTCATCGGCAAACTTAATGATGATGTTGGAGTTGTGCCTGGCCATGCAGTCATGAGTGAACAGGGAGTACAGGAAGGGACTGAGCATGCACCCCTGAGGGGCCCCCGTGTTGAGTATCAGCGTGGTGGATGTATTTTTCTTTTTTTTATCTTTTATTTTATTTCATTTTTTGGGGGTAGATCAGCTTTAATATTGATTGTAATTTCCATCAACATAATTGTCTGCATCACTTCCAATCCCCCATATGTTTTTTTCTCTCGCATATATATATATATATATATATATATATATATATATATATATATACAGTGGGGAGAACAAGTATTTGATACACTGCTGATTTTGCAGGTTTTCCTACTTACAAAGCATGTAGAGGTCTGTCATTTGTATCATAGGTACACTTCAACTGTGAGAAATGGAATCTAAAACAAAAATCCAGAAAATCACAATGTATGATTTTTAAGTAATTAATTTGCATTTTGTTGCATGACATAAGTATTTGATCACCTACCAACCAGTAAGAATTCCGGCTCTCACAGACCTGTTAATTTTTCTTTAAGAAGCCCTCCTGTTCTCCACTCATTACCTGTATTAACTGCACCTGTTTGAACTCGTTACCTGTATAAAAGACACCTGTCCACACACTCAATCAAACAGACTCCAACCTCTCCACAATGGCCAAGACCAGAGAGCTGTGTAAGGACATCAGGGATAAAATTGTAGACCTGCACAAGGCTGGGATGGGCTACAGGACAATAGGCAAGCAGCTTGGTGAGAAGGCAACAACTGTTGGTGCAATTATTAGAAAATGGAAGAAGTTCAAGATGACGGTCAGTCACCCTCGGTCTGGGGCTCCATGCAAGATCTCACCTCGTGGGGCATCAATGATCATGAGGAAGGTGAGGGATCAGCCCAGAACTACACGGCAGGACCTAGTCAATGACCTGAAGAGAGCTGGGACCACAGTCTCAAAGAAAACCATTAGTAACACACTACGCTGTCATGGATTAAAATCCTGCAGCGCACGCAAGGTCCCCCTGCTCAAGCCAGCGCATGTCCAGGCCTGTCTGAAGTTTGCCAATGACCATCTGGATGATCCAGAGGAGGAATGGGAGAAGGTCATGTGGTCTGATGAGACAAAAATAGAGCTTTTTGGTCTAAACTCCACTCGCCGTGTTTGGAGGAAGAAGAAGGATGAGTACAACCCCAAGAACACCACCCCAACCGTGAAGCATGGAGGTGGAAATATCATTCCTTGGGGATGCTTTTCTGCAAAGGGGACAGGACGACTGCACCGTATTGAGGGGAGGATGGATGGGGCCATGTATCGCGAGATCTTGGCCAACAACCTCCTTCCCTCAGTAAGAGCATTGAAGATGGGTCATGGCTGGGTCTTCCAGCATGACAACGACCCGAAACACACAGCCAGGGCAACTAAGGAGTGGCTCCGTAAGAAGCATCTCAAGGTCCTGGAGTGGCCTAGCCAGTCTCCAGACCTGAACCCAATAGAAAATCTTTGGAGGGAGCTGAAAGTCCGTATTGCCATCGACAGCCCTGAAACCTGATGGATCTGGAGAAGGTCTGTATGGAGGAGTGGGCCAAAATCCCTGCTGCAGTGTGTGCAAACCTGGTCAAGACCTACAGGAAACGTATGATCTCTGTAATTGCAAACAAAGGTTTCTGTACCAAATATTAAGTTCTGCTTTTCTGATGTATCAAATACTTATGTCATGCAATAAAATGCAAATTATTTACTTAAAAATCATACAATGTGATTTTCTGGATTTTTGTTTTAGATTCCGTCTCTCACAATTGAAGTGTACCTATGATAAAAATTACAGATCTCTACATGCTTTGTAAGTAGGAAAACCTGCAAAATCGGCAGTGTATCAAATACTTGTTCTCCCCACTGTATATATATATATATATATATATATACACATATACATACATACACTTACATATACACATACATATAAATACATATACATACAGTATCTCACAAAAGTGAGTACACCCCTCACATTTTTGTAAATATTTGAGTATATCTTTTCATGTGACAACACTGAAGAAATGACACTTTGCTACAATGTAAAGTAGTGAGTGTCCAGCTTGTATAACAGTGTACATTTGCTGTCCCCTCAAAATAACTCAACACACAGCCATTAATGTCTAAACCGCTGGCAACAAAAGTGAGTACACCCCTAAGTGAAAATGTCCAAATTGGGCGCAATTAGCCATTTTCCCTCCCCGGTGTCATGTGACTCGTTAGTGTTACAAGGTCTCAGGTGTGAATGTGGAGCAGGTGTGTTAAATTTGGTGTCATCGCTCTCACACTCCCTCATATTGGTCACTGGAAGTTAAACATGGCACCTCATGGCAAAGAAGTCTCTGAGGATCTGAAAAAAAGAATTGTTGCTCTACATAAAGATGGCCTGGGCTATAAGAAGATTGCCAAGACCCTGAAACTGAGCTGCAGCACGGTGGCCAAGACCATACAACGGTTTAACAGGACAGGTTCCACTCAGAACAGGCCTCGCCATGGTCGACCAAAGAAGTTGAGTGCACGTGCTCAGCATCATATCCAGAGGTTGTCTTTGGGAAATAGACGTATGAGTGCTGCCAGCATTACTGCAGAGGTTGAAGGGGTGGGGGGTCAGCCTGTCAGTGCTCAGACCATACGCCGCACACTGCATCAAATTGGTCTGCATGGCTGTCGTCCCAGAAGGAAGCCTCTTCTAAAGATGATGCACAAGAAAGCCCGCAAACAGTTTGCTGAAGACAAGCAGACTAAAGACATGGATTACTGGAACCATGTCCTGTGGTCTGATGAGACCAAGATAAACCTATTTGGTTCAGATGGTGTCAAGCGTGTGTGGCGGCAACTAGGTGAGGAGTACAAAGACAAGTGTGTCTTGCCTACAGTCAAGCATGGTGGTGGGAGTGTCATGGTCTGGGGCTGCATGAGTGCTGCCGGCACTGGGGAGCTACAGTTCATTGAGGGAACCATGAATGCCAACATGTACTGTGACATACTGAAGCAGAGCATGATCCCCTCCCTTCGGAGACTGGGCCGCAGGGCAGTATTCCAACATGATAACGACCCCAAACACACCTCCAAGACGACCACTGCCTTGCTAAAGAAGCTGAGGGTAAAGGTGATGGACTGGCCAAGCATGTCTCCAGACCTAAACCCTATTGAGCATCTGTGGGGCATCCTCAAACGGAAGGTGGAGGAGTGCAAGGTCTCTAACATCCACCAGCTCCGTGATGTCGTCATGAAGGAGTGGAAGAGGACTCCAGTGGCAACCTGTGAAGCTCTGGTGAACTCCATGCCCAAGAGGGTTAAGGCAGTGCTGGAAAATGATGGTGGCCACACAAAATATTGACACTTTCGGCCCAATTTGGACATTTTCACTTAGGGGGGTACTCACTTTTGTTGCCAGCGGTTTAGACATTAATGGCTGTGTGTTGTGTTATTTTGAGGAGACAGCAAATGTACACTGTTATACTGTACAAGCTGTACACTCACTACTTTACATTGTAGCAAAGTTTTATTTCTTCAGTGTTGTCACATGAAAAGATATACTCAAATATTTACAGAAATGTGAGGGGTGTACTCACTTTTGTGAGATACTGTACATATATACAGTGGGGAAAAAAAGTATTTAGTCAGCCACCAATTGTGCAAGTTCTCCCACTTAAAAAGATGAGAGAGGCCTGTAATTTTCATCATAGGTACACGTCAACTATGACAGACAAAATGAGAGAAAAAACATCCAGAAAACACATTGTAGGATTTTTTATGAATTTATTTGCAAATTATGGTGGAAAATAAGTATTTGGTCAATAACAAAAGTTTTGTTATATACCCTTTGTTGCAAAGGTGGGACAAAGTCATTGTTATGCAAGTCACAAGTAAGTCTCAAGTCTTTGCCCTCGAGTCCCGAGTCAAGTCGAGTCAAAGATGAGGCAAGTCCCAAGTCGAGTCAAAAGTCAAAGCCATCAAGTCTCAAGTCGAGTCCAAAGTCCTACCATTTTAGTTTCGAGTCATTTCAAGTCCTCTTACCACAGAAATAAAATGTATACAAATCATGTATGTCTGTAAGATTTGTATTTATTTAAACCTTTTTATACAATAACATTAATCAAATACAGCAAAAAACATAACATTTAATTTTCACAAAAAAAATGCTTGTATTTGAACAGCATATTGCACTAGAACAATGCAGAGAGAGAGAGAGAGAGAGAGAGAGAGAGGAGAGAGAGAGGAGAGAGAGAGTGAGGAGAGAGAGAGAGAGAGAGAGAGAGAGAGAGAGAGGAGAGGAGAGAGAGAGAGAGAGAGAGGAGAGAGAGAGAGGAGAGAGAGAGAGAGAGAGAGAGAGAGAGAGAGAGAGAAAATGGTTTACGGGGAAGGACAAACACCAAAGCTCTGGAAGTTAAAAACAGTGTGGGAACCTGCACTGCAAATGAACAGATCTTACTCCATGTGAAACTCCTACCACAGGAGAGAGAGAGCTGTGTGGACAGGTGATGAGCAGAGAGTGAGTGTGTGTGCGCGCATGCGTGCTGTGGACAGGTGGAGGGAGGCCCCTATACTGCATTGCATTTGCAAAAGATCAAATTGGCCAAAAGTCTGTCAGTCATTTGTGCACGATGGGGACGCAGAATGATGCCACCATGGCTGAAAACTCGCTCCACTGGAGCACTAGAAGCAGGCACTGCCAAGACTCGGATGGCTACTTGAAAGAGTGAAGGAAGAGTCTTACTGTTCAGTGCCCAGAACAAAAGGGCATTCTGTCCTTCTGCCATGTCAATGTAGTGACTTAGCTGTACTGCTGGTGGGGTCCCAACATCCCTTTTCTGCCTCTTATGGTATGCAGCAAACAGCCCTTCTCCTTCCATGTCCTCTAGTTCTTCTTCAGCAGGCACCGGCACAGGCTGCTCTGTCTCTGCAGCATCTTGCAGGATCAATTCTAAAAATAAAAATAAAAACGTGTCACAACAGCAGAAACAAAAGAGCCCTTATTTCTGATGTTGATGATACTGTTCAAGACTGAAATTTTTTATTATTGTTAAAGTCAGATTAATATCACATTAGATCCTATATCAGATTAAGATCAAATTATTGTACGTTGCATTTAAGTTGCATTGCAAGTCAATAATATTTACCTTTAACTCGTTGTGCCACCTCTGCCTTGATGTCACGGTTGACCAGCACATGGGGCTCAATCCACAGCAGACAAAAGGCTGGATCCAAGGCAGCTGCTTTCAGGTAGACTGTGTCTGAAAAGGGGGCAGTGATCCCTTCTTGAGACTGGGCCATTTTTACATTAATGAAGATCCCAAGAAATCTTTTTTTCAGGGATGCCTGCAGACCTCTGACCAGGCCACTCAGGAAACGAACTTGAGGCTTCAGCTTCTCAAGATGGTGATTGAGGGACAAGATGGATGGAACAACTGCACTGATTGTAATGACTTTCTCCCCCTGTGTCAAATCAGTTGCTTCTCCGAACGGTTTTAAGATGTCCACCAACTCCTTCAGCAGATTCCACTCTCGTGGTGTGAATGACAGTTCTTTATGCCCGGCCTTCTCAAGAACTGCGCAGAGCTTTTGCTGATCACAATGAAGGACTGCTTTTACCTGCCGCAGTGTGGAATTCCACCTCGTGCTCACTGCAGCAGGGATGCCTCTGTGCTCCCCAAATTCACCATCGAAGATGTCTTTAAACGTTGTGCTTGTGTGGAGCAGGGAGCTAAGTTTTGATAACTTGGAGAGAGAAGGACATGCCGCTTTTGTTTCTTTCAAACCGTCTCCCACAACCAGCTGCAATGTGTGTGCAAAACACTGCAGGCGCTGTTTCTTTGCCATAGCAGCATCGACGGTTTGCTGGTCTTCTTGGGTTAAGTCATGCCATAGCTCAGGATCATCAAGATTATCTCCAGCATCTTCATCTTCCTCCTGTTCGCTGGGGAAGCAGACTGTAAATGCCTTGCGCATGTTAGCAGCATTGTCACTAATTATATAGTCCAATTTAGCTTTGATGTTGTATTCATCACATATTGCCTCAAATTGGTCACAGATTCGCTCTGCTGTGTGAGAGCCTTTGAAGCGGTTGCAGGCTGTCACGATCGTCTGATGAATGAACGGACCAAAGCGCAGCGCGTTGAGTGAACATGATAACTTTAATCGATAAAGCACAAAAATACAAAACAAACGACGATTCGTGAAGTCCTCTGCTAAACTGACAGAAACGGAACAATAACCCACAATGCCCACAAGAACACATACAGAATAAATATGGCTCCCAATCAGAGATAACGAGCCGACAGCTGACACTCGTTACCTCCGATTGGGAGTCATATCACTAATCAACATAATACAACACTTGACACCCAACATAGAACCAAACCACATAGACTGCACACACCCTGGCTCAACAATAATGAGTCCCAGAACCAGGGTGTGACACAGGCCAAGAGATTAGTCTTTAGCTGTACCCTCTCTGCATCTCGCTCCATCCAGTGCACAGTGACACCAAGGAATCCCCTCATCTTTCGATCAGACCAAATGTCCACAGTGACTGAAACATGGTCAGTGTTGCTCAATTGAGTTTTTAACTTTGACCGTCTCTCCTCAGCAAGGCTCTCTGTTTTTGTGGTCAGCGTTCGGCGACATACTGGGGTATACTTGCTGTCCAGCACAGCCAGAAAGTGACGAAAGCTCTTATTTTCCACAATAGACAGAGGGAAATTGCAATCAATAATCAAGTCAGACAGTATCGCATTGGAGATGGCCTTCTGCTGTGGGTGGGTCAGGCTGTAACGCCCTACACGAGTGTCAAGGAATTGTGAGGTTGAAGGCTGTTGTGGTTCATCTACGATGATTTTGTTCATCTGGTATTCTTCATACCTGTAACAGAGAAGAATATGAAACAGATGTCAGAAAATCCTTTACAGCCACACATGTTGTATTTGAAACTACTCTTTACTCATATCAATGTTGTTGTGTTAATATTCATTGCCTATTGTACACTACGGTTTACGATAATACATTTCAGTGTCAGTGTATGCAATATTAAGAATATTTTCACTGCTTCAAAATTCATAAGAAAGCCCTTTCCCTCAAGAAACTGAAGTCATATGCTTTATAGCAGTGGTTTTCAAAGTGGGGACGGGGACCCTTGGGTGCCGCGAGGGGGTTCTAGGGGGGCCATGGCAAGTTGGCATGAAAAGTATAGAAAAACAAAATAATTGAATAAATTAAATAACTAAAGTAAACCAAATTAAACCAAAAATAAGCTAAACAATATTCCCATTAGTTAAGAACTGCACTATAATAATCTATTGCATCTCTGAACATTACTACTATAATCGTTATTATTTTATTATATACTGTATATATCCCAGTGGTGCGCTGCCTCACAGACCTACTGTAGACTACGGTAGCACTCTGTCCATGCGCTGTCTGCTGTTTGGGCATGATATGAAAAGGGAAGGCTAATGGTGGATCTACTGTGACTGTGTTATCATTTTCCTCTTTACAATGTATACGTCTTACTATGTTTCCTGTTGTACTTGGATGGGTTTAGGGATGCACCAACTACATCCGAGTTGTGAAAGGGGGTGCATTCATTGTTTAATTGTGATATTTTGTCTTCAGCGACAGTTCAGCTTAGTTGTGATTAACCAAAATTACATAAACGACCTCAATGAGGCAGCACACCAGCAACTCTGAAACTGAATTCTAAAACGCTTAACGTGAAAAACGCTTAACGTTGCTTAATGCTTAATATTCTAAGACAGTAATATTATAAGACCAAACTCTGCAAATATCATATTAATAAAGCATACTATGTACAAAACATCAGATGAGCCCAGAATACATAGTAGCCTACATAAGACATGTTAAGCCTTTTCTTATAATGGTTTTCTATGGGAGGAAAACACTTAACGTGTTGTTAAACGTGTTTGCGTTCATATTCTGGCCTCATCTGATGTTTTGTACATTTAGTATACTTTATTAATATGATATTTATAGTTTGGTCTTTTAATATTACTGTCTCAGTATATTAAGACACGTTAAGCCTTTTCTTATAATAGTTTTCTATGGGAGGAAAACGCAACGTGTTATTAAACGTGTTTGCGTTCATATTCTGGGCTCATCTGATGTTTTGTACATAGTATACTTTATTAATATGATATTTACAGAGTTTGGTCTTTTAATAACACTGTCTTAGTACATTAAAGAACGTTAAGCGTTTTTCACGAAAGCGTTTTAGAATGTCCATATAATAGCAGTTCAAAAATCCATATTTTTGTAAGCATGAACCAGCAAGGGAGACGTGCGTTTGTCTCGTTGATACAGTAAATATGCAGCAGCTAGCTAGTAAGTTACGGTACATCCGATAAGGTGCGTAGCATTCGTTCAAAACTTACCTTTCTTTGTGCAACTTCAGGTGTCGAACAAAGTTGGACGTTGTGGCAGCTCCGTCTGTAATCTTCGATCCGCATGTTTTGCAGATTGCAACTCGTTTTTTGTCGACTACCTCGTAATTTTTATAGCCAAACCAAACTATCTTCGGTATCATTTTGACAACTGGCGCGTTGTTGCTTGATGTGCTTCATTGGTTGTCTTGCAATGTGCCTGCTTAGATGCTGTCGAATCAAAACAACGTGGGACTACAGTGATTGGATAACGTGCAGGCAGCGCGCGCTCTCTGTATGCATACAGGTGGATGGTGCACATTTTTTTCACAGATGCAGATAAACGGAGAGCGGCGTGGCCGTGTGAAAATTTTTTTCCCCAGTTTTCATGGGAAGTAGCAAGTCTTCTCGAGTCATAAGGCGCAAGTCCAAGTGAAGTCACGAGTCATTGATGTTAAAGTCCAAGTCGAGTTGCAAGTCTTTGTACATTTTGTCGAGTCGAGTCTGAAGTCATCAAATTCATGACTCGAGTCTGACTCGAGTCCAAGTCACATGACTCGAGTCCACACCTCTGCTTTGTTGGCAATGACACAGGTACAACGTTTTCTGTAAGTCTTCACAAGGTTTTCACACACTGTTGCTGGTATTTTGGCCCATTCCTCCATGCAGATCTCCTCTAGAGCAGTGATGTTTTGGGGCTGTCGCTGGGCAACACGGACTTTCAACTCCCTCCAAAAATGTTCTATGGGGTTGAGATCTGGAGACTGGCTAGGCCACTCCAGGACCTTGAAATGCTTCTTACGAAGCCACTCCTTCGTTGCCCGGGCGGTGTGTTTGGGATCATTGTCATGCTGAAAGACCCAGCCACGTTTCATCTTCAATGCACTTGCTGATGGAAGGAGGTTTTCACTCAAAATCTCACGATACATGGCCCCATTCATTCTTTCCTTTACACGGATCAGTCGTCCTGGTCCCTTTGCAGAAAAACAGCCCCAAAGCATGATGTTTCCACCCCCATGCTTCACAGTAGGTATGGTGTTCTTTGGATGCAACTCAGCATTCTTTGTCCTCCAAACACGACGAGTTGAGTTTTTACCAAAAAGTTATATTTTGGTTTCATCTGACCATATGACATTCTCCCAATCCTCTTCTGGATCATCCAAATGCACTCTAGCAAACTTCAGACAGGCCTGGACATGGACTGGCTTAAGCAGGGGGACACGTCTGGCACTGCAGGATTTGAGTCCCTGGCGGCATAGCGTGTTACTGATGGTAGCTTTGTTACTTTGGTCCCAGCTCTCTGCAGGTCATTCACTAGGTCCCCCCGTGTGGTTCTGGGATTTTTGATCACCATTCTTGTGATCATTTTGCCTCCACGGGGTGAGATCTTGCGTGGAGCCCCAGATCGAGGGAGATTATCAGTGGTCTTGTATGTCTTCCATTTCCTAATAATTGCTCCCACAGTTGATTTCTTCAAACCAAGCTGCTTACCTATTGCAGATTCAGTCTTCCCAGCCTGGTGCAGGTCTACAATTTTGTTTCTGGTGTCCTTTGACAGCTCTTTGGTCTTGGCCATAGTGGAGTTTGGAGTGTGACTGTTTGAGGTTGTGGACAGGTGTCATTTATACTGATAACAAGTTCAAACAGGTGCCATTAATACAGGTAACGAGTGGAGGACAGAGGAGCCTCTTAAAGAAGAAGTTACAGGTCTGTGAGAGCCAGAAATCTTGCTTGTTTGTAGGTGACCAAATACTTATTTTCCACCATAATTTGCAAATAAATTCATAAAAAATCCTACAATGGGATTTTATGGATTTTTTTTCCTCAATTTGTCTGTCATAGTTGACGTGTACATATGATGAAAATTACAGGCCTCTCTCATCTTTTTAAGTGGGAGAACTTGCACAATTGGTGGCTGACTAAATACTTTTTTTCCCCACTGTATATATATTTCATTTTTATAAATATATTTCCCTTTATTACTTTCCAACCCCACCACCCCTTCCCTAATTGGAGTAAACTAGTGAACAACAACGCTTAGGCCTCTACTTCCAGCTTATACATACTATATACATTTTATGGACACAGTCAATCTTACAATAATTATATTTTGTTTGTTTTTACTCCTGAACTTCCTCTACACTCAACCTCTCCGATCATTTTCATGATGTCCATCCGGTTTGCTTCTATATACCATATCTTTCTAACTGTGCTCTTTCACAAAAGTGCTCAACCTATAACCTATATACTTATTATGGACACAGTATGCTTTACATTAGTTATCATGTTGTTATTAGTTGTTGTTAGTTGTTATTAGTCCCATCCTTCAGCTCCATTCAACACCTCCCATCTATCTCTTAACACCATCCATATTGTACTGTGATGTTTCACAAAAGTTCTGAACCCTTCTATTCTCATTGTTTCTACAGATTGTAAATTGAAAAGAAACATTTTTCCTAAAAGTATTATTATATTATTGATCGATTGACTATGACTTTTCAGATCACCCAGTAGTGCTATCTGCAGGGTTAGCTCCAGCTAAATATTGCAATCCTTTAGCCATTCTTGGACCTGTGACCAGAAACAAGCTACAAATGGACAGTACCAAAACAAATGATCTGATGATTCTGTCTCTTCGCAGCAAAATCTGCAGAGCTGGGAAGATTGTATCCCCCATATAAATAACATTATATTGGTAGTAAGAATTTTGTATAATAATTTAAATAGAAAAATTCTAAGTTTTGAATCCGGCGTCGTTTTGCGTATCAGTTCATAAACACTATGCCATGGAATCGGTACGTCAAAAATCTCTTCCCAACTATTTTGCAATCTATATGGGATGGCTGTCAATCCTTTGGTCCTTAAATGAAACTGGTATACTTTTTTATAAAACACAATTTTCTTTAACCAATTATGTTCTTTAATGCAGGGCTGACAGACAAGTTCTTTACTTTTTCCCCCTTCCACTTTCCTCTCCCATTTTTGCGGTAATGCTGCAATTATTTGGTTGTAATTTTGTGTAGAGCAGACATTTCCATATGTTTTTGTTAGCTGCATGTGTGACATAACTCCACCAGTCCTACCTATGATATCATTTACGAAGATTATACCTATTTTTTTTATTTTTTTATTTTTTTATAATATTATTTATCAATGAGTATATTTGAGTTTAACCACAATATTTGTTGCATTATTTGTTCTGTAGTTTCTGGAGGATGAAATTGAAATTGCAACAAACTTTCTATGGCTTGTTTTAGAAATAGTGATATTTGGGAGATGATTTCCTTTTCAAATAACTGAAAGTGAGAGATTGTAATCTGAATAAAGGGAAAAAGGCCATTCTTGAACATGGGGTGAGACAATCTTACTAATTTGCTAGAGAACCATTTCGGATTTAAGTAAAACTTTTGTATGACTGAAGCTTTTAGTGATAGATCTAATGCTTTAATATTTAATCATTTCTGTCCTCCGAATTCATATTCATTATATAAATAGGCCTGTTTAATTTTGTCTGGCTTGCCATTCCAAATAAGATGGAATATTTTTTTCTCATATAATTTAAATAGCTGTTCGCTAGGCTTAGGCAAGACCATAAGCAAATAGGTAAACTGGGATAATACTAAAGAGTTAATCAGGGTGATTTTTTCACAAATAGACAGGTATTTACCTTTCCATTGTAGCAAGATCTTATCTATTTTTGCTAACTTTATATGAAAATGAATTGGAGTGAGATAATTTATTTCATTTGGGATATGTATTCCAAATATATCCACATCACCATCAGACCATTTTATTGGTAAACTACATGGTAATGTAATTTTTTTTATTTCTTAGTGATCCAATACGTAATATAGTACATTTATCATAATTTGGTTGTAATCCAGAGAGGTTAGAAAATGTGGAGGGATTCAAGTGGTGGATTTAAAAGAAAACATGAATCATCAGCATACAATGACACCTTTGTTTTTAAGCCCTGGATTTCTAATCCCTTGATATTATTGTTCGATCTGTTTTTAATAGCTAACATTTTGATGGCCATAATAAATAGATATGCCGATAGTGGACAACCTTGTTTTACTCCTCTTGACATTTAAAACATTATTTACTATTTTACACCTAGGGTGACTATACATGATTTTAACCCATTTTATAAGAGATTCTCCAAAATGTAAATGCTCCAGGCATTTATATATAAAATCCAGTCATACTTTATCAAATGCCTTTTCAAAGCCTGCTATGAATAACAGGCCTGGTTTCCCAGATTTTTCATAGTGTTCTATTGTTTCCAGTACTTGCCTTATATTATCTACAATGTATCATCCATGTAAAAAACCTGTCTGATTAGAATGAATAATGTCCTGGCGGACGTGTTGTTACCTTCCCTTACCACCTTGGGGCGGCCCGTCAGGAAGTCCAGGATACAGTTGCAGGGGGAGGTGTTTAGTCCCAGGGTCCTTAGCTTAGTGATGAGCTTTGAGGGCACTATGGTGTTGAACGCTGAGCTGTAGTCAATGAATAGCATTCTCACATAGGTGTTCCTTTTGTCCAGGTGTGAAAGGGCAGTGTGGAGCACAATAGAGATTTCATCATCTGTGGATCTGTTGGGGCGGTATGCAAATTGGAGTGGGTCTAGGGTTTCTGGGATAATGGTGTTGATGTGAGCCATGACCAGCCTTTCAAAGCACTTCATGGCTACAGACGTGAGTGCTACGGGTCGGTAGTCATTTAGGCAGGTTACCTTAGTGTTCTTGGGCACAGGGACTATGGTGGTCTGCTTGAAACATGTTGGTATTACAGACTCAGACAGGGAGAGGTTGAAAATGTCAGTGAAGACACTTGCCAGTTGTCAGCGCATACTCGTCCTGGTAATCCATCTGGCCCTGCGGCCTTGTGAATGTTGAACTGTTTAAAGGTCTTACTCACATCGGCTACGGAGAGCGTGATCACACAGTCGTCCGGAATAGCTGATGCTGTCATGCCTGTTTCAGTGTTACTTGCCTCGAAGCGAGCATAGAAGTAATTTAGCTCGTCTGGTAGGCTTGTGTCACTGGGCAGCTCGCGGCTGTGCTTCCCTTTGTAGTCTGTAATAGTTTGCAAGCCCTGCCACATCCGACGAGCATCGGAACCGGTGTAGTACGATTCGATCTTAGTCCTGTATTGACGCTTTGCCTGTTTGATGGTTCGTCAGAGGGCATAGCGGGATTTCTTATAAGCTTCCGGGTTAGAGTCCCGCTCCTTGAAAGCGGCAGCTCTACCCTTTAGCTCAGTGCGGATTTTGCCTGTAATCCATGGCTTCTGGTTGGGGTATGTACGTACAGTCACTGTGGGGACGACGTCATGGATGCACTTATTGATGAAGCCAGTGACTGATGTGGTGTCATCAAAACAATCCCAGAACATATTCCAGTCTGTGCTAGCAAAACAGTCCTGTAGCTTAGCATCTGTTTCATCTGACCACTCTACCTCAGGCGAGCAAAACCTCGAGACTTCTTTAGATATCGTGCACCAGCTGTTGTTTACAAATATACATAGACCGCCACCCCTTGTCTTACCAGAGGCTGCTGTTCTATCCTGCCGATACAGTGTATAACCCGCCAGCTGTATGTTATTCATGTCTTTGTTCAGCCACAACTCGGTGAAACATAAGATATTACAGTTTTTAATGTCCCGTTGGTAGGATATACATGTTTGTAGTTCGTCCACTTTATTATCAAGCGATTGTAAGTTGGCCAATAGTATCAATGGCAAAGGCAGATTAGCCACTTGTCGCCGACTCCTTACTAGGCACCCCGATCTCCTTCCGCGATATCTCCTTTTCTTTCTACTGCGAATTACATTTAAGTAATTTAGCAGACGCTCTTATCCAGAGCGACTTACAGTTAGTGAGTGCATACATTTTTCATACTGGTCCCCCGTGCGAAGCGAACCCAAAACCCTGGCGTTGTAAGCGCCATGCTCTACCAACTGAGCTACAGGGGACTACAGACTGACAGGGATGAGGGCCCTGTCGGGTGTCTGGAGCAAATCCCTCTCGTCCGACTCATTAAAGAGTCACACACAGGGTTGCTGGCTGGCAGGCAGTTTTTTTCTGAGGGTTTACTGCTGAGCACACATATGATAATCTCTTTCAGTAGCAAGTCACCCTTTTCTGTGGGTTAGGATGAAAGGCACAGCGTGTACAGCCTCCTCTGCTGGTCAACAGACACGATAGCAAGCTTGAACAGAACAGTAATAGTAAAGCTGTCTTGTCATGATATAATACATGTCTCATAATGTTCCATACTGTAGCAGGTTTACTGTCTTCTCAATGCAGAGATGACTCTGAATAAGACATGTATCTGACTATCTCTGACTAGGATGCTTTTGTGTCTTTGTTTTGGTAGGAAATGGTGGACTGGTTCAACGCTATCAGAGCTGCCAGGTTTCATTACCTTCAGGTGGCCTTCCCTGGAGCCAGTGATGAGGAGGTGAGGCTACAACATGTTTTGAAATTAGTATTACCATTATTAAACACCAAATTGAACAATATATATTATTTTCTCTCTTGTCTTTGCCTTCAGCTGGTGCCCAAACTGACGCGTAGCTTCATGAAGGAGGGCTTCATGGAGAAGACAGGCCCAAAGCACACAGAGGGCTTTAAGAAGAGGTGGTTCACCATGGACGACAGGAGACTCATGTACTTCAAAGATCCTCTGGTGAGGAGACAGACACACCCTACACTAAAACAACTGATCCATTCTGAATGAACCCTACTATTCTGTGGCATACTGCATACCGCATACTTTATTCTCTGATATCTCTCTCTGATCTCTCTCGCTCTCTCTTTCCCCCCGCCTCTCCCCCCTCCTCTCTCAGGATGCCTATGCAAGGGGAGAGGTGTTCATTGGCAGTAAAGAGAACAGCTACACTGTGCTCTCAGGCCTTCCCCCCTCAACCCAGGGCTACCACTGGAACCATGGCATCACCATAGTAACACCAGACAGGAAGTTCCTGTTTGCCTGCGAGACAGAGGCGGAGCAGAAGGACTGGATCGCTGCCTTCCAGAGGGTCATCAACAGACCCATGAGACCACAGGAGTACGCAGGTAAGTCAGGAGGCTGAATTACACAGGTGTACTCAAGAGTATGCACTACGTTAGGTGTGCTCTTGAGTAGGGCTGTTACGGTGACGTATTACTGCCACACCGGTGGTCACGAGTCATGATGGCAGCCACATGACCATTTAGTCACAGTAATTAGGCTTCTCCATGCTCTGATGCTGCTGATGGTCATTAATAGCCTACCAAACTTGCTAACTGCCTGGTACTCAGCACTCTATTGTCCCTCTAATCACGCTGACATCAATGCAAATGTTATCGAAAATCTAATCAAACACCTCATGAGTGCCCATGAGCTCATGTTGCGCAACATTTCTATAGGCTATGCAATTGCGTCATTAAAACAGAGTTTTGATGGCCTCTATTAAAAAGAGGAGGATCCCATCAGCTTTCTATAGGCTAGGCCTACAAAATGTTAATGATCAACGTTCCTAATTTTAAGCACATTGATTTGCTTTAACACAGGAACATAGCCTACCTGGTTGGCATGAAAATGAACCATGGGAAATGCGTCCTCCATTCGCTATTTAAGTGCATAGATGACATGTGTTTTTTTCCTGTGCCCCTGTTCCAAGACAGGTTATAATGGTCCATTCTAAATCAAAACTCATTTCACACATATATTATTTATTTTATGTAAAGACAACATTAAATTAAGAATAGTCTGATGGGGTGGCAATATTAGCCTATCACTTGTGAATGTTGTATTATCACTTGTGAATGATGCTCAGCTAAACTAAAGTGGCCAAATAACTTCTTAGAATTAAGCACATTAATCCGCTTTATAACCAGTGTAGAGCCTAACTGGCATACATAGGCTGTACGTGAGTTTCAAGTTTGGGGGCGATAACTTTCACCATAAAAATGCACCTTTATAATAAAGCATTACATACATAATTTCATTTGCCATCACTTTCGAGAGCAGTGTTTTCCTGCTATTGATTCCATTTTGGAACAGTCGCGCTTATAGCTAAACGATCAGTCTCATTGCTTTTAAAAGGTTTTTTGATGCGAGTGGTCATATTAATTTGGGATCTATCGCATCCCACAACTGTCCCAGAATATGTTTGAATATTTATTTATTGCACAGAAGGACAAGTTGACCAATAGAATAGGTCAACTTTTGTACTATGGGGGATAGTAGATTGACATATGCTAGTGCTTTTGCAGTTCGTTAGGCCTACTCATCTTGTTGACTGACGAAAAGTAGGCTAAATGTGGACAGTCCTAACATTTAAAAAAGTACACAATTGTCATACTTGAGTAAAAGTAAATATACCTTAATAGAAAATGACTCAAGTAAAAATGAAAGTCACCCAGTAAAATACTACTTAGTAAAAGTCTAAAAGTATTTGGTTTGAAATATACTTAAGTACCAAAAGTAAATGTAATTGCTAAAATATACTTAAGTATCAAAAGTAAAAGTAAAAGTATGAATAATTGAAAATTCATTATATTAAGCAAACCAGATAGTAAAATGTTATTTTTTATTTACAGATAGCCAGGTGCACACTCCAACACTCAGACATCATTTACAAACTAACCATTTGTGTTTAGTGAGTCCGCCAGATCAGAGGCAGTAGGGATGACCAGGGATGTTCTCTTGATAAGTGTGTGAATTGGACCATTTTCTGTCCTACTAAGCATTCAAAATGTAACGAGTAACGATAGCTAACAAACTTTTGTCCATCGCGCTGTTCCATACATTTGACCTTATTTTAGCGCCCCAAAAGGGTAATACTTCCAGGTCAACTGTAATATGAATACTATTGTAAAGCACAATTTCTCCCCTTTCCAGCAAAATCAATGACGAGACCTTCATGCTGCCAGTCTCTGCATGATTGAAGAAGGCAATGGAGCTCCGCCGGATCTTTTAAAAAATGGCGGGTGGGGAAGCGAAAGCTACTGTGTCATAGTGAAAGGGGGAGATATGTCATGTGGGAAAACTGCTTTCTTCACCCGATTTGTCCTATTTATCACCTCTAAAATGTAAATAAAACACTATCTCGTTACATACCTATTTGAAGGTTTGTGTCGAATTTTAAAAGGGTTTTTAGGGCGGCGCTAAATGTATCTTCACAATTAAACTGTGGCTGTCACGGTCTTTCAGAGTCATGTTGGCTCGCAGTGATTACGCAAAGAAAAAATACAATTGATTGAATTAACTATTGATGAACTCAAGAGTAATTAACTTTACGATCACCATTACACTCACCATTGATCATTTCTTGTTTTTAATCTGCGAGAGAAGCGCTACACCTGGTGGAAAGAGGCTGTAAGGCACAGAATCAGTTTCATAATGGGTGCCGTACGTTACGACGTGACACATCACAATTTAACGTACAGCGTCACAGGGGTCAGTTTTTCAACTTTTCTCCAATACTATGGGCTATTACCATATCAATCAACGCTTGAATAGAAACGTAGTTAACACCCCAGATTTTGATGCCAACACAGTCGCTACAGTCCCATTAGTTTTCATTGCAGCCTTGTTTGAATGCCGCGGTTGCGCAAATGTGTACGGTTTGGGGTTAGTCACCGTTACTTTTGGGTGTCAGGGAAAATGTATGGAGTAAAAAGTACATTATTTTCTTTAGGATTGTAGTGAAGTAAAAGTAAAAGTTGTCAAAAATATAAATATTAAAGTAAAGTACAGATACCCCAAAAAACGACTTAAGTAGTACTTTAAAGTATTTTTACTTTACACCACTGGAAATAGACTACATTTTCTTCATATCATGTTTCTTTAGACCTGTCTAAAATAAATAATGGATTTATTGTGATGGTGTAGGCTATATTAAATGGATTTATTAGACTTTTTAAAATGTAGATGTTCCAAAGGTCTGCATCAGTGGCTTGTAGGCAATGCGTGGAAGCCAGGAGATGCTAAACGTGTTCATGCTAATTAACGGTCAATTACTGTGAGACTGACAAAATGTCATGACCGCCACAGCCCTACTCTTGAGGAGCATGCATGTATGCAGATATTGCATCTTTGCAATAATATTTGCAGGGTATGTACAACCCCCAATTTAACTAGTCAAGGTCTCACAAGCAGTTGCTTGGTTGAAGCCAATGTTTTATTGCAGGGCTAAAACAAAAACCTGCACACCGGGTAACTCCCTAGCACCAGCATTGGTATTAATCACTATAATTATAGATTGATGTTGTGTTTTTAGAGGCAGTCCAAAGCAGGGTAATGAGTGATTGCCTGTTTATGTACTGTACTGTATATATATGCCTCTCTGTGTGATTGTATCTTTATGTTGTGGTAACACTAACTGGTTTTCTGCTCTTCACCATGCAGTGGAGGCCCACTTTAAACACAAGCCCTGAGACTGGAGATAGAGCTGTCACTCTATTGGACAGCTCACATCCCACTAAGAACAGAACAGACAGGATTTCTCTGCAGAGACCCCAGAATAACACAAGTCTATGGGGCTCTACTGTACCTGGAGAGAAGGAACGAGATGATAGAGATGGAAGAAATAGATCTGAGAGGAGAGAGAAAAATATTAAAAGGACTTACTTCTCCACCTCTTCTGACCTGATGCCCAAACTGGGGGTTAGAGGTCAGGGGTCAGGGGATTTGAGAGGAGAGAAAATAACACAGAAATGTCAATTCCCCTGCTGCTGCTCTCCACATAGACTCTTCCACACTGCACCCCCGCTCTTAGTGTTGTGAGTGGTTCATCCCTTGTTGTATACTAATGAGTCATGTTCACTGTGTTTGTTGAGAGCAGTACTGTAATTGTAATTTATTGATTGTACAGTTTTGATGACAGTGGATTTATGCAATTTCTCTGATTGTTCTAAACCTATGCTTCTGGACAGGGTTATGCACATCTCGTGGCTGTTATTTATTTTGAAATATAAATGTGAATGTAAATATTTTTTACTTCATGCAACAGGGTTGTAATTTATTTAATATTAATATCATACTGTATATGTTTCATCTCCCTGAACTGATGAAGTCCATTTGTGTTTATCATTGGAAAACACTAGACGGCGCTCTAGGCCACTGTAATACATCACCCATGATGTGCATTGTCATTCTGTTGGTCTGCCGCTGTAAGAAACTTGACAGGGATCCAAGCTGAGAACAATCCCATTGACCTTGTCTCCTTTACTTCAGATTCTTATTATTAAATAAATAATTAAATAATGCTATTGGTTTTCATCAACTGCTGGGCTCCCTCTCTCTCTGTGAAGGTTATCTTTTCTCTATCGCTTCTCTCTCTAGCACATGGGTTCCCAAAAATGCACAAATTGACACTAGAAAAGGCAGTGGACCCCACTTTACACTGTGTGTTCATATTCACTCAATTTAAGGTCCAGCAGGCTGTCCCAACACATAATAATTACATGAAAGTTCATTTTAATAGTGCAAAAGGCCCTTAGTTGACACTAAAAGGTTGTATTATACAGTATACCCATTTGAAGAGAAAACTATTCTTAATTTGTTTGATAAAATTTGACCCCAGTTCAATTTCAGGGTTTGGAAACTAATGCTCTAGTAGTTCAAAATCTCGTCTCACAAAATGTGTGCTGGTGTGCCTGTGTTTGTTTGTGTGTGTGTTCTCGCAGTATGCATGTGTGCAGAATGGATAGGGCACCCTCCAAAGCTGTGTGCTTCTCTGTGCTGACTGATGAGTGGACACAGACAGACACACAGCTGTTGCTAGAGGTGGCAGTTGGAGAGCTCAGACAGCTGTTGGAGTTCCACGCATGGAGAGTGTTAAGCCTGGGCTGGATGGACGCTCAGAGGCGGGTGGGAAGTGTGGCTGAGCAGTTGTGAAGTGTGGAGGACCAATATTATCAATATGGGCTGAAGTGTGCTGACTGTATGCACAAACACCCACACAAGGAGCATGATCATGGCTGTGCAGCTTACACATATGCACACAGACCTGGTACTGTGTGCAATTAAAAGTTCATTACAGTTCAATTGTGTAATAGATAGTTATGGTAACATTGTAATGATTAGATGTGGTAGAGCGTTGATTCTTGTCAATTGGTGTGTCTGCGTGGGCATATGATTATCTCTGTTTATTTGTTTGTGTGAGAGTGTGATTTGAAGGAGTCAGGCTCAGGAGGGTAAATCACCGAATACAGAGTTTATTCCATAGTACACAGTTACGCACAGGGCGTAATACAGGCGCACTGGAACACAATACAGGCACACAGGGAGAAATAACCCCGGCAATACAAAGTACGGGTAGCTCAACCGAGCTACACTCATCTTCACATAAAACAATCACCCACAAGGACAAGAGGGAAGAGGGAACACTTATACACAGACTAGTGAGGGGATATGAACCAGGTGTGTGTAATTGACAAGACAAGACAAATGGAATGATGAGATATGGAGCGGCAGTGGCTAGTAAGCCGGTGATGACGAACGCCGAAACCTGCCCGAACAAGGAGGGGAGGCAGCCTTGGCGGAAGTCGTGACAGTTTGTATAACTATAAGGACATGCTCCCATCATGTCTCCATACATACAGTATGTGCCTGTTCTGTGAACTACGTGCCTTTCCTGTGAACTTCCAGTACATTGTAACACATTGACATCTCGGTTCCACATACTCCTCATGGTGGGGTGTGAGTGTGTGTTTGTGTGTGTGTGTGTGTGTTGGGAGGTCAGGATTAAGAGCTTCAGAGGGGGTCAGGCTCATGGCACTGCAGCCCAATCGTCATAGTAACAGCTGGGACACACTCGCACATGCTGCCTTCACTCTTTCTTTCCCTCTCTCTTTCTGACACTTTTTTCTCCCTCCCTCAATTTTCTGTAATCTCACTGACTATAGGGTTCACATCTGCTTCTGCCATCAAGACTGAGTAAATTAACATTGTCTTTATCTATTGGTAATACAGCATGTTTTCTTATATAAACATTTAGATTTTATTCATATGAAATAGTATGCTGCAAATGTACATGTACTGAATATATAAAGCGGATATAGCGTTTGAGTGACTTGGCAGATTTTTTGTCAGGCATAGAGATAGGCCATCCCTCTGTCTGTGAGATGGGGACTAGATGCTTTTCCAAGGACTGGCGCCAAAGCAACATGCTGTGGTTGACCTCAGTCACCACCGTGAGGTTTCACAGTTGCTCTAATTCTGGCATTGTGAACCATCACAGACCACTCCAGACCACTCCAAGGCAAAGCTCTCCTCTTTATAGGGATTGGAGTGGTCCAACCAGCCAACACGATGGGGGATTGAAGAATAGTTTATACACCCCAAAGGGTCAGAGGGCACTATTTTTGGTTGAAATGAGACGTGCACAATATCTGTGGGAACGTCAATGTCTTGGAAACTCCTTAGTCTTTCTATTTATGTATTTGTGGAAAATTGAAGCCATTACTTAGAGTGAACAATAGAAATGGGTCTGCAGTTCAAACAACTGTTATTCACCCTTTTGTCATTGTTGCACTGCACAGGAACAACTTGCCAGTAGCATCCTGTTATTTTGAGACAGAGAATATCACATAGACAAGAGCAGGGAGAAACTTGTACCTCATCACTTGCGTCAGTAGACGTTTTAGGTCTAATTGACTGTTGTAAATCTATTACATTGCTGCCCCAGTCTGTTTCAAGTTGAGGTAATAATTTAGTGATGAGTCTAACCCAATTAGGTGGTGTTTCGTGTTGGTAAAGCCTAAAGGATGGCTACGGAGAAGCTACAGCACAAATCTAATGAAAGGTCCCTGGATAGACCCACACACACAAGGGATCCCTTTCTCTGCTTAAAATTGAATAATTTTTTTTTATCTGCTTTAACTTATAATAGCTGTAATGAAAATGAGAAATATATCAGTAACCTTATAAACAAGTTTCAAAAAAATTAAGGAGACTAATTGAACAGAATTTAACATGAACAGAACTTGACTTGAAAGGATTAGATTGACATATGAAGCTGCTATCTGAAAGGTGTATATTATAAGTGAGGGTGTGTGTGCAGTGATTCAATTGGGATTTGTAGGGGAAAGAACAGTAACCAAAATGGGTAGATTTTCCCATGCAAAGTCTTAGCAGAATTTCAACTGCCTCTGTGTGTTTTTACCAATCCAAATTATGTGGAACTGCCTTCCCACCTGTACAGTATATATTACCATTTGTGTGGCGAATCACAGTGCGAGTCAGGTCTCCTGATGTTTCCCTCCACACTCCTCTGCCCCTCCACCCTGGCTCCAGATCCCTGTGGCATCATGGGTAAGTCAATGTTAGTTCTGTCTGGCAGCTTGTTGTCGTTGGCGCCCCGGCAGGCCAGGCAAACTCCAGTAGACACTAACTCAGTCAGACTCACCAGTCAGTATTTTCACCATTCAGGAAGTAATTAAAAGTGCGTGGAACCCCAAATCATCAGCCATCATATCTGTAGTGAAACCCAGGGGCAGAAACATAGGGCATTTAGCATGGCCTGAGAGTAAATATAGCAACCTATGAGCCAGGTACAGTATATCTGTCAAAATAAATGGTTTGTGTAATGGCTATGTTGGTCTAGGTAAAGTGTCCATATTCACTGGATGAACACTCTATCCAGTGCGGCAAGTGATGGTGATTCATGCATAATTTGTATAGCCAAACTCTTGTTTTTATGCAATGCAGCCTGATCAATTCTGTCAATAACTCTCAACACTCTGTCTCCATTCTCTATCCTCATCCCTAGCTCTCTTCTAGTTGAGTTTCTACTAAAACGTCTTGGCAAACAATAGGCAGAACAGTCTGAGTTACAGCATGCTGGTAGTGGACTGGTGGCTATAAATGAAAATGAGTTCTTACAAAAAAATGAGTATTCCGCTTACAAGCCACCCACATTCCATCTGTTCTGATCAGCTTCCCTGTGGTTAATTCCTCTCATACCCTGTGGCTTGTTGGTGCCTTTGGTAATGATGCAGTTTTTATTTGTGGGTCCAATTAATTTCCCTCTCTTTCCCCAGATAGAGGGAGACAAAGGATCTTTCAACAAAGTAATGGCTCATTAAAATTCATTGCTTTTTGTCTGTGTCACACGCTCACACGCAAGTACACGCTCACGCACGCACACACACCCACCCACATGTTCACACATGCATGCACACACACACACACACTTGGTAGTATGCCCACTCTCAGTAACTGCATGGCAAGCATCCATCTTGTCTTCAAGAAACTGCCCAACTACTCAAAAACGTTAAGTTTATATGTCATTTGCCAAAATATTCAGAACCACCAGAAAAAGGTGTGTGGGCCAACGTATTTATCGGCTCTGCATGAGTTCGTACAGTGAGTTTTGACCAGAGGCGAAGCTTCCTCTTGACAACGCTTCACTCTGCTTGAAATTTGCATAAAGTAGAGCAGAGCTTAACTTTTTCTACCACTCCGTTAGCAGGGTTCTCGCCGCTCACCTTCCCACAATCCCAGGCACATTTCTCTGCGTGCCCTTGTTGAAAATGGATGGCGGAGGAACTTCTCCTGCCGAATTCGTTGTTGGTGAAAACACTCTGCAATGCTGTTATTTAATCGTAAAGGTAAACATAAAACAGCATAAATGTGTGGTCACACACACTAAGTTTATCAAACATTTACAAGCAGCAGTTATATATTAGCTGGTTATCATAGAGCCGGCACACAAATAATCCAGTCAACATATCAAGCATAAAAGTCAAATAATCAAACCTGGATTGCCCATTGGGCAGTCTCGCCATGTTTTTTGGAGTTTCCTATTCAGAAAGACAAGCCATTTCAGCCTTCATCCATACAGAATTGCTGTGCTGGAATGAATATGTCTTCTTCAAAGGTTGACAAGTGCAGCAGATGCACAGGGCTTAGCGGTCCATGCTACAGGGTGAGTATGGCCGTTTCTGTCCTCAGTCCAGCTGTCCAGTCAATCACAGCATATGGTAGATCGTTTTACTAAAATCCTTCAACCCTGAAATCTTGTAATCTCGATTTGCAGGAAACAGAATTGAACACCTGTTGCCTAGAGTGAAAGTCTATGGCTCTTTTTCTGACAAGGAATGGAACTGCACTGGAGTGATGAACAGTAACTAAGAAGTGGAATTACTATTAGGTTGGTGAATTTGTTAGCTGGATTGTTCATTCCAAAATAAAACATGTTAATATAAAACATAAATACAAACATAATATTTGAACGTTATAATAATTATTCAATCTGAGATAAAGGGTTGAACATAAGTAAGTAAAAGTAAATATAGATGTGTATTAATTCATGATGTGGTCAAAACAGAAGTGTGGTCCACATTCTCCTCACAGAAGATTCATGCATGATTGTGGGTAGAGACTCTCTGTCCATTCTGACAAAACCAGCAGGCACTTGGTCTTAGATAATGTCCAACCTTGACCCTTGTGTCATGTCCTCACTAACACAGCACAAACAGGAGAAGCCCATAGACTATGTGAAAGCCATGTCATGCACCATAGGCAGTCAGTGCTGAGTCTAAGGCCTGGAGAGTGTGGTATAGACTGGCTGCTCCCAGTTTGTGGTGGGGCTGTGGAGCGGAGGGATGGCCACGCTGTTGATGAGCGGGTTGCTGTAGGGGCGGCGAGAGGAGTGGAAGTAGGGGTACTGATAGAGACCTGCGGGGTAGCTGGAGTAGGCACTGTAGTAGCTGGGGCTCTGGAGGTCTGCATAGTCACACTGGGGGCTGGGCAGGGAGGAGGAGGATGATGAAGATGAGGAGGCTGCAGAGGAGGGGCAGCTTCCAGAGCTGAGGGGGGTGTAGTCAGGGTGGGGTGGCGAGGAGCTGTGGGAGTGCTGGCTGCTGTAGTGGCTGGGACTCAACTGCTCCGTTTTGATCTGCGTTCTGTGGTAAACGCCATCGCTGTTACTAGAAGGCGAGGAGGAAGAGGGGAGCGCCGCCTCCAAGGCATTGCTGTGGGAGTGGCCGAAGGAGGAGCTGAGGGAGCCAGAGGGGGGGTTGGATCCGTGCCCCCTGTGCCCGTGGTCCGGAGGCGCAGGAGTGGAGCTGTGCCCATTGACTGGCAGGTACTGGTCGAACTCGTGGACGTCAAAGGCCTCCATGTTGCTGATGACATCGGTGCTAAGCTCAGAGATGTCCACGTTGCTGAAGTCGATGTTCTGCCGTCCGCTGTCCAGGGGGCGCCGGCCATCATGTTTCACCCCCAGATACAGCTCTGTCTTGGGGGTGGTGGGGGGTGTGGGGGGACCATGTGGATGACCTTCAGAAAAGACACGACAGATGCCTAAACATTAGCTACTGCATACTAACAAAATAACGTACCTGCACACCTCAACCCTGAACCCAGGAGAGATAGCTAAGTGTTCATACAGGATCTCAATCAGTAAAAAAAAAAGACCATGCCCTGGTGACTGACAAACTCAGTGTTGCTATTGAGTATGGATTGTTTAACATTCTTGCACAAATGTATCAAATATGCTGGGAAATCCATTCACCTGTCCGCTCTGGATGATGCCCATCCCCCAGGGAGGTCAGTCTTACCAGACCAGGTTCAGCCTTGTACATCTGGCCCGGGTGGAGGTGGGCCAGCTCAGCCCCGGAGTCGGAGTCACTCTGACCTGGCTTGGTGCTCTTCCTTCTCCGAGGTTGGTATTTGTAGTCAGGGTAATCTTTCTTGTGTTGCACCCTCAGTCTCTCTGCCTCCTCCATAAATGGCCTCTTCTCGCTTTCAGAGAGCAGGCTGGAAATTGATGACAGGTTGGGTTGAGTTGTGGACTATTATAAGATGCACAATGCTGGATGTCACAGTGAATACATTATCATCATCATTCTAAACAAAATGCCATGTAAAATTAGGTTAATCAATATGAAAAGGCAAAGTTGTGCAGTAATGTTCATGAAACAATACTAGAAAATAAAGTAATAATAAGTGTTTTGTAACTTGTCAGCAATGAACATTGTCTACATCAATCTTCACTGCAGATTTTTGGGTTTGGTGCAAAAACATTTCCATAGTACATCTGTGCCATGTTCTATGCAGCACATTAGGCACGCAAATGTGTATTATATCCCCCATTAAATATATACATTCGGTTATCTCTACTGACCGCCAGAGCTTCCCCAAGGTCTTGCTGAGTTCGGCGTTGTGGAGATGCGGGTACTGGTCAGCTAGTTTCTTGCGCGCCGCCTGCGCCCACACCATGAACGCGTTCATCGGCCTCTTCACATGGGGTTTGTTTTTCAGAGACCGCTCTCCTCGTGTAGGCATCGGTACGAGCGACCAGTCGTATCCGTTCAGTACCTGAGACACCGCGTCTCGGATGCACGCGGGAAACCGTTTATCCTCCTCGCTGGTGTCCAGTTTTGGGGTTATCCCGTCGCTGGGCGCCTGTCCATCGGAGCTGGTTGGAGAGGACGGGACGTCTGAATCCGAGTCGTCCTGCGACATCGAGCTGACGGTTCCCGTTGGACTACATGGATGGTCGTTGAATGACTTACTCGTCTCCTCAGTCATGTTCAGGCAAAATGGCTTTGGTCTATCTAGTTGCCTGTTGATTGCACCAAATGCGCATTTTACGCACGGAGCCCTGAGTGACCAAAAATGAAAATGTAAAATCCCAAACGCTCTTCGTGATGTTAGTTCTTACCTATGACCCTGTTGTAAGTTTTGTCGTGTTGGTTATGATGTCCACACTCTGAAATCTCAGTTTGATACTGACACATTTTTCATCCTCTCACTCCACCCCTCATATCTTATTGGTTTGTACATACACTGTAGCTCCACTGGTTCCTCCCATTTGTAGGAAATATGAGCCAGTGATTTGAAATGTGTGTTATATACACTACCTGTCAAAAGTTTGGACACACCTACTCATTCAAGGGTCTTTCTTTATTTCTACTATTTTTTACATTGTAGAATAATAGTGAAGACATCAAAAGTATGAAATAACACATATAGAATCATGTAGTAAGCAAAAAAGTGTTAAACAAATCAAAATATATGTTATATTTGAGATTCTTCAAATAGCCACCCTTTGCCTTAATGACAGCTTTGCACACTCTTGTTATTCTCTCAACCAGCTTCATGAGGTAGTCACCTGGAATGCATTTCAATTAACAGGTGTGCCTTCTTAAAAGATAATTTGTGGAATTTCTTTCCTTCTTAATGCATTTGAGCCAATCAGTTGTGTTGTGACAAGGTAGGGGGGGTATACAGAAGATGGCCCTATTTGGTATAAGACGAAGTCCATATTATGGCAAGAACAGCTCAAATAAGCAAAGAGAAATGACAGTCCATCATTACTTTAAGACATGAAGGTCAGTCAATACGGAACATTTCAAGAACTTTGAAAGTTTCTTCAAGTGCAGTCGCAAAAACCATCAAGCGCTATGATGAAACTGGCTCTCATGAGGACTGCCACAGGAATGGAAGACCCAGAGTTACATCTGCTGCAGAGGATAAGTTAATTAGTTACCAGCCTCAGAAATTGCAGCCCAAATAAATGCTTCACATAGTTCAAGTCACAGACACATCTCAACATCAACTGTTCAGAGGGGACTGTGTGAACCAGGCCTTCATGGTCGAATTGCTGCAAAGAAACCACTACTAAAGGACACCAATAAAAAGAAGAGACCTGCTTGGGCCAAGAAACACGAGCAATGGACATTAGACTGGTGGAAATGTGTCCAAATTGGAGATTTTTGGTTCCAACCGCTGTGTCTTTGTGAGATGATCTCTGCATGTGTAGTTGGTGACACTGTCTGTGATTTATTTAGAATTCAAGGCACACTTAAACAGCATGACTACCACAGCATTCTGCAGTGATACGCCATCCCATCTGGTTTGGGCTTAGTGGGACTATCATTTGTTTTTCAACAGGACAATGACCCAACACACCTCCAGGCTGTGTAAGATCTATTTTACCAAGAAGGAGAGTGATGGAGTGCTGCATCAGATGACCTGGCCTCCACAATCCCCTGACCTAAACCCAATTGAGATGGTTTGGGATGAGTCGGACGGCAGAGTGAAGGAAAAGCAGCCAAGAAGTGTTCAGCATATGTGGGAACTCATTCAAGACTGTTGGAAAAGCATTCCAGGTGAAGCTGGTTGAGAGAATGCCAAAAGAGTGCAAAGCTGTCATCAAGGCAAAGGGTGGCTATTTGAAGAATCTCAAATATAAAATATAGCAAATGCCTTGAATGAGTTGGTGTGTCCAAACTTTTGACTGGTACAGTAGATTCTAATGATTAGTTTTGCTGTATAATCGATGTAAAATTGCTTATATCATCCAGACATTTAAACAGGATTACCATGGTCAGAATTCCAGCTTTATATTCAGGTACAATAACTGTGGAACCATATGTGCAAGGCATGAACCCTATGGACCTGCAACCTCATAGCTATCAAGAAGAAATACAGATATTTATCCTCTCCTCTCCTCTCCTCTCCTCTCCTCTCCTCTCCTCTCCTCTCCTCTCCTCTCCTCTCCTCTCCTCTCCTCTCCTCTCCTCTCCTCTCCTCTCCTCTCCTCTCCTCTCCTCTCCTCTCCTCTCCTCTCCTCTCCTCTCCTCTCCTCCTTAATACACATAGCCATACTGGTGATAGGTAGCTCACCCATGTGTTGTAGTAGTAGGCTATACTGGCTGAGCAGCGTAGCAGGGGCAGCCGCAGCAATAGGTGGGCTGGACAGCGGTCGTCCAGGTGTATTTCATCTGCAGTGGCGACCCGTCATTCAGGGCAGGTGGGGCTGAGCCTGTTTTGAGCCCCACCTTTCTAGCCCCCCCCCCCCCCCCCCCCCCCAAAAAAAAACAAAACAAACAAACAGGGGATGCCTGTTTTGCATGTTATTTTGGCATTAATACGTGTCACATATCAGTTTTCAAACAATGTATTTTAAAAAACATATATATATTGAGTTAATAAAGCCGCATAAAAACTTAGAACACTGAAACAATCACAGCGCAAGTAGAGAACATTACCAAACCCTACGCTCCGTATTTTCCGCTGGCTGCCCCACCACCACAGAAAGCACTGAGCTAGGCGGAAACACCTGCATTTTGGAGCTTCCTTACTCAAGAAAGCAAAAAAGGAGACCATCACTCATGGGGACACTACATCACCTCTAAGGGTAGAGCTAAAAAATTCAAGCCCCTTGGGTGCTGCCACAGAGTTACATTAGAAGTGTCCATCCAAGAAGGCTCAAGGTCATTGGCCACAGATAAAATTAAGTCAAATCACGTTATATCTACAGCAGCTTTGATTGGACTGATCATGTCCACATCATACTTTCAAAATCTTAGCTAGCAAGCTAGCAGTCATCATCATGAATCAAGTCGACAATCTCCTGGCAAATCCTTTTTAATCCTTGTCATATGAAGGGAAAAATTGAAGAGGGGCTTCCCGAGTGGTGCATCGGTCTAAGGCACTGCATCGCAGTGCTAGAGGCGTTACTACAGATCCAGGTTCAATCCCGGGCTGTGTCGCAGCCGACCGCGACCGGGAGACCCATGAGGCAGCGCACAATTGGCCCAGCGTTGTCCGGGTTAGAGGAGGGTTTGGCCGGCCGGGATGTCATTGTCCCATCGCGCTTTAGCGACTACTTGTGGCCGCCGGGCGCATGCACGCTGACTTCGGTCGCCAGCTGTACAGTGTTTCCTCCAACACAATGGTGCGGCTGACTTCCGGTTAAGTGAGCAGTGTGTCAAGAAGCAGTGCGGCTTGGCGGGGTCTTGTTTCGGAGGACACATGGCTGTCGACCTTCGCCTCTCCCGAGTCCGTACGGGAGTTGCAGCGATGGGACAAGACTGTAACTACCAATTGGATATCACGAAAAATTATTATTATAATAGATAAAACGTTTTTTTTTCAGAGTTCCCAGTTGTCTTGAAAGCACCATAAATCCAAAGAATGCCAGACTTTGATCACAAAGTTTGAGGAGAAAATGTGGCCACGATGGACCGCCGCACCACCTTCCTGTTCAAGTGAGCATAGCACAAAAAGGTGAGTCCAAAAATTTATTGTATGCTGCTGTATAAATTATGTAATATGCCAGGGAGATATGTTTACTGTAGCTAAGAAAGTAATACTAAGTGTATGTTGTGTAGTAAGCTGTTGGTAGCCCATGCGCCTCACCCTAATAATATGGTCCCGTTTCCCCTCCTAATTTCGCCTACTGTTCTGGCTTGGTGGTGCACATGTAGCCTATAGCCTGTTTTAGAGAACTGTAATCATTTAAACATTGTAAGACCTTCATTGTCTGCTTATGTGCCCCCTTTATTTATCCTACAATTCTGACTTGGTGTACAGGGAGAATACTGTAAGAACGGCTCATGTTCTGAATTCTGTTGCTGTACATTTCAAAAGTGCTGAACAAATAGTTATATTGACTGTGTCCGTCCTAGCTCGCTCATTAATGTCTTAATCAAAATTACGGATTGCCTCTTATCCGCTCGTCGTCCTCTTATGCCATAGTTTGTACATCTCAATTGTCAGTAGAAACTACATTTGTTTAAGCAAGTCAGCCATATCAGCTATGTTTTTTTTAAAGGTAGTAAATGAGGCTGAATTAATTGTTTCGCTGCTAGACAAGGCTCTGCTGATAGCCTGGTGTAGCAGTGGTAAGGTGTTGGGACTGCTGTTGGGACTCTGCTGTTGGGACAGCTTTATTTTTTATTTGTATTTTGTATTTATTAGGGATCCCCATTAGCTGCTGCCAAGGTAGCAGCAACTCTTCCTGGGGTCCAAACATATTAAAGCACTTACATTACATATAAAACAAAATATAAAACAGTCCATCACATAACATTATTACACCACTACATATCTACAATACAAAATGTTTAATACCACCATACAACAATATCACAACGTGTGCGTATGCATGTGTCTGTACCTTTGTGTGTGTCTCTTCACAGTCCCCGTTGTTCCATAAGGTGTATTTTTACAGTTTTTTTCAAACTGATTCTATTGCTTGCATCAGTTACCTGATGTGGAATAAAGTTCCATGTAGTCATGGCTCTATGTAGTACTGTGAACCTCCCATAGTCTGTTCTGGACTTGGGGACTGTGAAGAGACCTCTGGTGGCATGTCTTGTGGGGTATGCATGGGTGTCCGATTACATTCAGCTGGTCAACACCTCTTACAAAAACAAGTAGTGATGAAGTCAATCTCTCTTCCACTTTGAGCCATGAGAGATTGACATGCATGTCATTAATGTTAGCTCTCCATGTACTTATAAGGGCCAGCCGTGCTGCCCTGTTCTGAGCCAACTGCAATTTTCCCAAGTCCCTCTTTGTGGTACCTGACCACACTACTGAACAGAAGTCTAGGTGTGACAAAACTAGGGCCCGTAGGACCTGCCTTGTTGATAGTGTTGTTAAGAAGGCAGAGCAGCGCTTTATAAAAAAAAAAAAAAAGGTGTATACATTTTTTGTCATTTAGCAGACGCTCTTATCCAGAGCGACTTACAGTTAGTGAGTGCATACATTTACATACTGGCCACCTGTGGGAATCA